TCTCTTCTTTCTCTCTTTCTCTTCTTTCTTTCTTTCTCTCTTTCTCTCTTTCTCTCTTTCTCTCTTTCTCTCTTTCTCTCTTTCTCTCTTTCTCTCTTTCTCTCTTTCTCTCTTTCTCTCTTTTTCTCTTTCTCTTTCGTTCTCAAAACATGGCCTCGCTCCATCGCTGTCACGAGATACCTGAGCTGAGGTTAATGGCCGTTCTGGCGCTATGCCCTTTCATGAAAGACGGGCCGTGTGTGCCTTCAGGCCAATGTGAGGCGGAAGCGTTGATGGAGTTCAAGACGTACTTTGATAGGTGTGCTCCTGGCGGAGTGGCTGCCGCAAAAATGGCGCAGCAGCCTGACAGCACGAGCCAAAAACGCAGCAAACGGACGGACCGTGTACACAGTGCAGCTCAATGCCGAAAGGTTCACTGCAAGTGGCGTTGCACATGATGTGGAATGTCGGACGCATCGGGTCTCTTAGCGGCACTGGCCGTCCTGCTCTGAGCGGCCACGATGGCCCCCCCCCCCACTTTCGTCCCTGATGGCCAACTTAGGGTGACGTTGCTGTGGGTGGCGTTGCCCACGGCTTCGAATTGGAATGGGTTCTTTGGAGCAGCTGCTCGTGCAACAATAATCTGTGTGCTGCATAGTCCATTGAGCAAGCGAGAGAGAGGCAGAGAGACAGTGAGGCAGTGCGTTTCACCAGCTGACTCGGTGGACACCGGGCGGCCCCTTCTGAGGCCATGAGAGAGAGAGAGAGAGACCCTGGCGTATACGTCAGACTCGGTACTAGCCTGCCCCTCGGGGCGACCCCCACCAGGGGGTTATATGCTCTCAAGCAAGCAAGCAAGAGACCCTGTACCATACCTTGTAGTCAGGCCAATGTACCAAGTTGCATAAGCGGAGAGTGATGCTCGCCGCCTTTTCAATAACTCCGAGTAAGCTCAGTGAGACACCCCCAGGGCTTAATTTGGGGCGGGACTCTTATATCAACATGAGACAGGGACCTGCATGTTTTTCCCAGGTTGCTGCAGGGGAACTCGCCAGCTGAATGTGTCTGCGTTTTGCAACATTTCGGAGGAAACGTCCCACTCCGCTGTTTTATGTGGCACTGAATTCCCCTCGTTTTGGACAAGTGTCCCGTTTTCAAAAATGTCACACTGGACAACGACCTCGGGCGCGAGGGCGCTTGGGGGAGGTTTCGGCCCCCTCATGCCCAGCAGAAGGAGAAGACGAAGAAAGAGAGAGAGAGGGAGGGAGTGAGTGAGTGAGTGAGCAAGAGAGAGAGAGAGAGAGAGAGAGAGACAAAAGAGAACGAGAAAGAGAAAGTGAAAGTGAAAGTGAATGTGAATGTGACTGTGAGTGTGACTGTGAGTGTGAATGTGAATGGTGAAAGAGATAGAGATAGAGATAGAGGTAGAGATAGAGATAGAAAGAGAGGGGGGACGTTCCACAGCAGAAGAAGAAGAAGAAGAAGAAGAAGAAGAAGAAGAAGAAGAAGAAGAAGAAGAAGAAGAAGAAGAAGAAGAAGAAGAAGAAGACGAAGAAGAAGGTGATGAAGAGGATTCACCCCTGCTGGGGGCCCTAAAGTGTGCATAAGAAGAAGAAGGAGAAGAAAGGCGTTCAGGCTTCAAGCTTGAGATGGAAATTTCGACTTGCCCGAAATTTCGCAGGGCCCAAAGAATCTCAGAAAACGGATCATAACAGAGAGGCAAGAACAAAGCGCGCAAGTCAGTCTTTACAAGAAAACTGCAGCTGAGGTTGCAGCTGCCCCACTGCTTCTCACATTGTGGCTTTCAATCAGTGGGCGCGCCTTGGGCACTGACCAGCATAGTGGTTGGTAAAATCTCACGGCTGCAACAAAACTACGCATTCATCTCGTGACACAGGTAGCTACGAGAGCCCACGCTGGCTAGCAGTGGCTGGAAATATGACTGGCTGCGTGGAACAACTGGAGCGTGCGAAGGACTGCCCACATGTTTCCTACCTCCGGGATGATTTCAATGTGCTCCACCCAAGAGGAGACCTGCGACAATGCAGATGACCAGCACATGAAAATTGCCATGCCGGAAGAGGTGGGTACAGTTGCAGTCGGTCTGAGTCTTTGCATCCTAAACGCGATCTAAACTCCCAAGCCCGAATCCCCAAACTGATATGGATACAGGCGTCCAGTGGCCAAGATCGGTCTTGGCACGACCGTGCCTCTCAGAAACCGCAAGTGATTGAATGAATCCTTTTTCCATCACAAAAATTCAAAGGAGAGGTAAAAAAGAAGGACCATAAAAGGGAACGATCTGAAGTGCACAGCCAAGCTCAGCCTGTGCCTGTCCAATAAGGATTGTCGGAACTCGCTGCGCCTGACGTACGGTATTCGCTGGGTGTGCTTAGCTGCGCCTTCTTTATGTGGCGTCGGCTGGAAATATGAAATATGGCAAGCAGGGTGAGGGAAGCTGGAGGTTTGACCTGAAACGTGCAGGTGCGGAATGGGTAGTAGTTTGCACCAAGGGGGTTGCTAGAGAGGTTTCAGTGTTGCAACACTTGCGGAGGGTGGCTTGTGGCGGTAGTTGTTCGGAAGTCTGAGATCGCTCCGAGCCTCTTCCGCTCGGCTACCAAGGCTCGGCTACTACAACAGTGGTTTGTTTTACTGGCTCATTCAGTACTTCAAGGAACGTGGCATGAAGTCGTCCGTGCATGCCGTGCCTGGGCTGGAGGAGGTTGCTACAGGGTTTGGGTCTTTTGTGGGCTCAGTGCTAGCTCCTAGCTGACTTCGGACACTGCACTCAGGCTATGATGGCAGGGCCCTGCGGGAAGGTGGCAGCCGTTGTGTTGCTCATACTGGGAGGGCCTGACATCTGCTGCATCGACCGACCCTTGCTTACAAGACCTTACAAAGTGCACGCAAGTGCTCTGGATGCTTTCCAGGTATTCGCCAGGTGTTCAACAATGGCAAATGGGTGTGAGTAGGGGTTTATGTTGGTTCTGTTAGATCGTTTAACCGACTGTTCTCAGTGCCTGCAGGCTTGAGGATTTTGGATTACTGTTAGATGCTTCAGCGATAAACCGCACCCTTTGGGAAGAGTGGCCAACAAGGATTTCGCCGAGTGCCCCTGCTGAAGATTGGCTTCTTCGGAGCAGGCGTCTTGCTTTTCGTGCTCTCTGGGACATCGAACGAGATTCTCGCTGCCTGTCAACGTTTACGCGTTTACGTGGTAGATTCGGACTGTGCCAGCGACAGTCCTTCATCGAGGTTCGATTAGGGTGATGTGGAGGTTGAGGCGGCTGGAGATGCCAGTTTGCTGATCACGTACTGTAAGCCAAGCAGCTGTCAAGACAGGTCGGAAAGCTGGCTCGATCAGCTGAGGCAGTTGTGGCCGTTTTCCTATCTGCCATTTTCGAGGAGATCATTTGGAGCGTGGGAGGCCAGGGGGCCTAAGATCTCCTGAAGGCAAGTCGGACGACTGCTCCAACTTTGTCCGGCAACCAGGTGTGTATATGAACGAAATCTTCCCCACGACCGTGAGATCATCTGCCCAAGGCCTTGCCAGGGCAGTCCGCTGCCAGTCCGTTGCCATTTTGATTTCTTTGTTAGGGGACAGTGTGATCTCCACAAGCATCACCCAACCCATCCGAGAGACATCTGGTCAACCAGCAAAAAAAAGCCGCTGCCCGGAGGCGTCATCAATTTCTGGCTCAGCCTCGGGGCCATTGCGAGTGCTGCCAGCGTTGGCGAGCTGATGGCGCGATGGCTTGACTCGAGAGGGAGAATTGGAAGTCATCTGTGCTGCTAAGTGCACAAAATAGATATCATTCCATGAAATGTTTAGGTTGAATACTCGAAAAAATGCCAATATCCACAATCTAGGCTTAGACTATGTTGTTACATGAAATGTATACATGTGAATCTTTTTCATATTGGTGATCTTCAAGCGCTGAAGATTTCACTGACTGCTCTTGCAGATGATCTCATCTATGGTGCCTATGCTTGCCATGGCCTGCGGAATGACGCACAGCTAATGTTGAGTTCAGTTGAGGTTCAAAGCCTTTCAGCTTTTACTTGTGCACTCCTCGATAGGCAGCAAAGCTCAGTCTTAAAACTTGCCCTTCCCCGCAGCAGTCGTGTGTGTCATGATAAAAGCAAGCTGAACGGCATGGAAAGGATCCTGGGCGGCATACTGGTGTCCTTTTGCGAGGAGAGCTTCGGGTCACCTCTTCGCTGGGAGCTTAGCCGTCAGACTGTATTCTTGCATCCTATAGCACAGTTGCCTGCGTTATGTAGTACTTTGTCAAACATACACACACACACACACACACACACACATATATATATATATCCAGATGAAGTTCCAGAGATTGTCATTTCTAGCTTGTCGGTCGCTTCCAGTTTGTCCGCTCTGATCTCAGGAGACTGCAGTCCGCATGCGCGGTATGGTGCCTGTGAAAGCGAGCCCGAAGTCACCAGCTTTGGCGTAGCAGAGCCTCGATCTTCATCCTTGTAGTCTTCAATCGTTCACGTCGACGACAGCTCTGGAAGGCAAAGAAAGGGATGCGCAGCCGCAGCTCATCAGTATGAGTACGTTCAGCCGCTTCCTTCCCCTCCCTTCCCCTCTCCCCGTTCCCCGCTGCTGTACCCAGCCCTCTCTCGGGCAAAAAGCATCAAACAAAAACTCACCCGGAGAACTCTTCCCAGCCCCAACAGCCGAACCTGAATACCTGGGTTTTAGGCTGACTTCCAATTTATCGCCGGTTGTGGGGTGAGGGTTGAGGCAACTGCTGGGTGCGCAGGGCATTCCCGCTTGTGCTACAGAAAGGAATTGGGGGTCGGGTTCGGTGCTTGAAATGATGGCAGGCGTAGTGATTTTGGAAAGTCACATGAGAGAGAAGAATGTCTTGAGGGAGCGTGCAGGTCATGCGCCATGTTCACGAAGCAGACACACATGCTTCTGGCAGCATGTCTTGATCCAGAAGCGTCAAACACTTTTGTGCAGTATGTTGGACAAAAGAAAAATGCTGTAGAAACCAGTGCTTTGATCGCCAAAGAAAACATCACTGCTTGTGACAGTGTGTCTTGTTCCAGAAACGTCAAAGATTCTTGTGGTGCAACGAAGCACAGAATCGGTAGATATTGTGGGAAAACGTCTCGGCATCTAGCATAGCACCTTCTTTCAGGTTGGTGGCTTCAATGGGTGGTTGCAGACCACGGGGTGGTTGCAGACCACGCTGCAAAAAATAGCCGAGCACCTGCACGCCATCTGGCTCACGGTGGCAGGAATATGCTAGGCTTCAGCATTTGACGTCTCACGCCATGCTTAACTACCCCAGACGCGACCTGCCATGACTACTGCAGAACAGGCAAAGGTCAGAACAACAGATGCTGCTAATGTCCATGTTGTTTTCAGGCATTTCAGTTTGACAATGTTCCTTCGCCATCCTCTGCTGAACATGTCACGTCGGGCCATAGAAAGCCACTGTCATGTCGCTTTCGCCATGGCAACTTCGCAGGGCCTAGCTGCATTCCTTCCGCCTCCCAGGTGAGGAGTCAGCAGATCAATGTGTCAAAACTAAAGGTGAGTCATGTTGCGTCAAGACAGAGATTTGCAACGTTGTTCTGTCATCATGTGCAGAATGTGCAGATCGGCCAGAACCGAAGTTGGGGTCTTTCGGAGGCCATCCAGATGCCGCGAAGCTCGTCTCCTGCACGAGCCTGCTCGAGAAAGTTCTGCAGCGTAGCTCATACTGGAGTCAATTGCGCATGTTCGGTTGTAAACGCTGTGGGTGCAGACTCGTTCAGTCTCAGAGTCTCAGGGGCCGACGTCGTCAGTGGCTCCGTGCAGCCCCGCGCTGGCAGCTTCCCTCTCCGAGACGTGGAGCACAGCTTCGGCAGATGCTCCGGATGTAACAGACGCCAGAGCCACACCTGCCCGCACGTTGGCACCTTCAGCCGCGCCTTCCCCGGCGCCTTCCCCGGCGCCTTGCCCAGTGCCCTCGCGTCGCTTGCCAGCCTCACCATGCCTTGCAGCGAAGAACATCTCCTTGTCACCTTCAGAGCCTTTCGTGGCAATTCCAACCTCGTGGGACGAGACGGAGATCACGACGACCCAGCACGCGCAGCCATTCGAGGATTGGGAGTGCTCAGAGCGTCATAGCTGCTGTATTCATATTTCAATCTTCTGATGCCAAGTGTGAGCATGTGATAGCATGTTCTCATGTTGTAACGTGTTGTGGCGAATGCTGAGCCTCGTTCCCTCTCGACTTCGCAATTTGCATTTGAAGAGCTTGCCCTGCCAGGAGCCCCTGGCTGGCACGCTTTTGGCGGAGGCAGAAGAGCATGAGAGAAGAGCATGGGAAGTACCCGGTGGTCAGATCAGCGCTGATCTGAGGTCGCACAGGACGAGCTGGATCAATTGCGTGCAGAGGAAAGAGGCCTGCGTCGCCTTTGGCTGCAGCTGCAGGCTCCTTCGCAAGGCCAGCGAGGAGGCGGGGATTAGTAACGGATAGTGTGAAACGGTGGGTGCAAATTCCCTCAGGCTAGTTCTATGAACACATCTGCACACTGCGTGGAGTTGATGCTATGGTCACACCGAGTCGGTGAGGTTCCCGACGTCAAGCAGAAGAAAGCTCCGCGCCAACTCTCCCAGCCGAGGCTGCTGGAACCGAGGTCGGCAGAGTCAGAGTGGGCGCTAGTCAGATCAGTGTCACTTCAGTATCAGATCTAATCAGCTAATCCTGGTGGTCTCCAGGATGTGCCCGAGTTGCAGCTGGCTGAGCAGGACAAGCAAGCCTACAGGGCCTGCAATGCAACGTGCCTACGCCGGTCATGCCAGGAGCTGCTCCGCCTCTCGCGGCAGGCCGAGTGCCAGGAGCTTTGCCAAAGACGCGAAGCCGAGGAGTCTCTCGGCATTCAGGCTTAGGCACGGAATGCCGCAGGCGACGGTGGAGGCGATAGTTTCGAGCGACACGCGTTGGTGGTCCGTTGGTCCCACCGAGGTGGCGACAGGCCGCTTGGCCCCGTTTTGACGCCACCTTGCCACAACAGCTGCTCGCATCTGGCATGACCGTAATGTGGCTTCGTCCATGCTGTTGGGAGGGCCCGAACCTGGCAGAAGTCTTGGCCCAGCAATTCCCAGCGCCCACGCTAAAGACCCCTGAATGTGTTGGATGCTTTAACAGATCTTTCAAGCCCGGCATATTACGGGCAGCATGCTCAGCAAAGAGTGCCGCAGAAAGAAGCTGAGGCCTATTGCGAGGCGCGAGATGCGGCCTCGAAGGCACGTCGTGCCGAGGCGGCGCCTTGGGGCAAGAAGAGGCTTCAGGAATTCGACGATCTACAGAGGCCTGGATGGAAAAGGGTAAGAGTCCTCGGCCTCAGTACGGGTTCAACAAGGGTACGCAAGAGTCCTGGTTCAAACAGGGTGGTTGTGTTGAGGATTGACGTCGCACTGGCATGAACAAACACATGTCCGGAGTAGGTCGGACAATATGGGGTCTGAGTCTGGGGAGGGAAGCGTTGATTGTTGGGGCTGGGGTCACTGGATCCCCTGCCTCTAGAGCTGCTTTCTCACTTCGGAACTCGAAACATTCGGCGTGGAGCTTCGGATGGCGTTTAAGATGGCGCCGCACGGCATCATTTTTGCCGTTTGCTGTTGCATGCGAACATTCGACCGCAGCTCAGGAGTCACAAGCTGAACTGCAGCAGCTGCCGCTGAGTTGCGAAGAGTTCCGGGGCTACAGGCGTACGGCGCAAGTTTAGAGAATAAGCTTCGAGACCCTTGCTGTGGTTCTGAAACGAGTTTGGATACTGTTTTTGGGCATTCGGCAAGGCTTTGGGTTCAAAGCTGCCTGGCGGTCTGGGAATGCTGGTTGCTCCGCCTCTGACTTGCAGCAATTGCAGCACTGTACTGCCAAGGGAAAAAGTCGTCGGCTCGCTGCGCGAAGACTTGGACAAGGTGACTCGCTTGCGTGATTTGCGCATGTTCGCGCGCCATGTCACAGAAGAAGACTTGGCCCGATAGAACCTTGTAGTGCAAACAGCCCACAACAGGCAAAGCGCAAGCGAAGGCCATCCGTGTGACCTTGCACAAACTAGACTGTAGACTGCGAGAGTCTCAAAGTACCCAAACCCTACAGGATACGGATGGCGAACCAGTAGCCCACAAGAACGGCAACAATCCACGCCAAGGGTGAAAAGTTGCCCAGTGCTTCTCTTGAACGACAAACATCCATCCATAAAGCAGTGACCCAATTAGGGGCTCACTTCAACCCAGCATGGGTAAGGGTGCCGGCCTGTGCAAACATGACATCACGAGGCATGTTGCCAGTCATTGCTGCACGCCCTGACCCTAGCCCTACATATTCCCTTTGTGTACCTCGCCCTGGCAGACTCTGCGTCTGTGTCCCTCCTCACCCCGATTTTTCGCTCACTCCCTAAGGGGTTGCCTGCCTTCTCCGAGTCTTCTCCGAGTGTCTCAAGTGCAGCAAAAGAGAGCTCAGGCGCGGGCCGACCTTGAGGATGCCCGCGCTGCCTGCCGGGCCACGGAGGTCCGTGTCGGGGCGGAGACGCGGCGCCTCAAAGAGGAGGTTGCCGAGGCCGCGCCATGTCGTTTCATTTCGTGTGGTTTGATGTAGTTCGATGCGGTTTGATTCATGTTGATTCCTGCAACATCCCGGGGTCTACGGTCTGTCTGTGGCAAGGCTCGTCAGGCAGCAGCAGGACCCTGCTCATGTCATGTCTGCTCAAAACCTGACAAGCGCACAGGCGTATGCCAGCGTCATGCCATGTCATGCCTGACAGTCACGGGTTGGAATTGCAGGATGGCTACCTGCCGAGCCCTGGTTCTCAGAGACCTCCGATTCATTCGATGCTGCTTCAGCCCAAGAGCGCGAGAGCTGCCTTCGCACCTTGGAGCGGTTAACTGTGTGACATGGTTTGCTATGTTGTGCTCGTTTCCTGCGCCGGGCCAGTCTGAACTTAAATACCTAAAACCTATGCCGAAGTAGTTACAACACGTGATGTACAAGTTGTCTGAGGCACGGAGCTGGCGGAGCTCTTCGATCGTGAGGCGCGTGCACGCTCCCTCCTGGAACGGCTCCGAGACCTTCGCAGCGATGCGGCACTCCGCCTCCAAGAACGGCCCTTGGCAGCCTTGGCAGCAGCGAAGGAGAACGACATCTTCGAGGACGCTTGTCCGCTCTTTACTAAGGCATTTCTCTTGAGGTTTTTGGTGGTTAAGAGGCAGGAGTCGGAGAAAGGAACTGTGAGGAACCGTTTCAGCATGGTACATGCAGCTGGCGTTGGTGGGAGTGTTGGCTGGGTTTTCGTGCGTGTAGACGCTTTTGACCTGTGACATCGGCATCCTGCGGCAGGCACATGCCGCGGATCAAGCGGAGGATTTCCAAGCGTTAAGGAGCACCCCGTCAGTGCAAAGCAGCCACTTGGCTCATCGGAAACAAACCGACCAAGATCTGTTTCTGCAAGGGGTTCCAGTTTTGCCTCCGATCTGCAAGGCGGAAGCTGCGAGCAGGCAACTGAGGAGTACGCCCCAGAGGCCAACTCCTCGCGGCAACGCCTCCGTCTGCTACAGGAGCGAGCGGCCAAACTTCATGCCATCAAGGAGCATCTTCAGCGGCTGAGCAGGCAACGACAAACATCCAACGAGATGGTGTCAGATGCCCCGAATCTCACAGATTCTGGTTGCCCGAACTGCCCCGCGGAGTGCAGGGAGCCTCCGCCGCGCATCACAAGATGGCAAAAGCAGCCCCACTCGCAACAGAGTTTGAAGAGGGAGGTTCTGCCCACATTTTGCCACGATGTGCCTGAGCATGGTATATGACATGATGATTTTTATGCACGTTTGACATGCTTTGCCTTTTCGGTTGGTTCGCACAAGGGGGGGGAGATGTGACCCCCCGAGCGGCTTCTTAGCCCACGAGCGACATCCGAAGCTGGCTTCGTGTTGTTCTCAGAAACCGAACCTTTCGCTTTCAGATTTTGCTCCTGGTAAGGGCCTCTGGTGGCCTCAGTCTCTGCATGTCAGCGCCTTGCTGTGAGGCGTGGCCTGGCATGCCGAGGCCTGTTTTGCAGATGGCGACTGCCAGGTTTGCTGGGTCGCAGGATGTCGCTTGTTGGCGCAGGGCAGAGTCTGTAGCATTTGCCCAGAACTTACAGGCAGGCTCCGCTTGCCCGCCGATGCGGCGCAGGCGCCCCTTCACAGCACAAGCAAGCTCTGTCTTGTACCAGTAGCATGGCCAGGGGCTGCGACTGGGCCTTCCTCCATCCGCGGGTTATGCTTCGGAACCTCCAGCTGCAGATACTATTGAAGTGTTGAAGGCTTGACTGAGCTAGGAGAAGGGCTCGGATCAGTGGTTTAGGAAGGAGCTGATGCAGAGCCCGGAGCGCTTAACTGCAGAAGATGTGCTAGTAGTGTAGTCTGCGAGAGCTCGGCGCTGCCCTGTGAGAGAGTATGTAGTCGTGATGTGTTCAATGGAAGCGCCGTTGTCTTCGTCGTACTTGCAGTTTGTAGTACTTGTCGTCTCTCGTCACCCTCGTCGCCGCCGTAGCAGCAATACTAGCCGAGTTTTTCGAAGTCGCAGCATATCAAGTTGGGAGGGTCCGAGTTTTTGCGCAGATGTCTTTGTGGCACCTGAAGTGCTCCCATGATAGTTGAGGACTGGGGCTCACGCTTCTTGCATCACTTTTGTGCCGCCGCGGTTCGGTGCTGGACTTCGCGGGGGCCACGGCACGAAGCGTCTTGAAGAGGGCAGTTTAGCTTCGGGTCGGAGGGAGTCGGGCTGAGTCAGTGTCCGACATGTTGGAACCGAAGCACAGCCGCATGATTGCGAGGTCGGCCAGGCCTGCCAAGGCGAGGCGCGCCAGCCGTCCCTTTGCGCTCGGCACATTCGAGCCGCGGACCCCAGCATTGTGTCTTCTGGAAGCCTTTGGCCTGGGCATAGGTGTGAAGTTGAGTGGTTAAGCAGCTTAAGCAGCTCATGCGGTTGTAGGTGACCAGTACGAAGCAACACGAAGTGCTCTAGCCCACCCGAAAGGCTTCCAAAAGGAGGCTTCTAGGAGGCTTCTCGGAGGCAGTCGGCTTGATTGAACTAGCGAGGGATGGCACAAGAAAAACAATTAGTTGGACCAGGGTTGAGGTTTGTCTGAATGCTTTCTGATGCCTTCCAGGCGACCGGCAAAACCAGATTGGCTCCCGATGCTCTGTCCTAAGTTTTTAGTTTCAATGTGCTGCTCCCTGCAGATTGTGCATGATTGACCGGATTGTCTCAGGCGGCGCTTGAGCTCGACAGTGTGTGGCGAATAGATCCCAAGGCAGCCATCGCGCTAGCAGCAGGCTGCCGCCAGTACTTCTGTTGGTTTCACCTGGCACGCCAGCAGGATTTCAAGACCGGCTGGGACTCTGAGCAGGGCAAGTGGATAGACCTGCCAAAGAACATGATCAAGGCAAGCACGACTCCATCACCCCCAATTGCATTTCTTGTGAGGTATCTGTTGCTGTGCCAGTTGCCATGAACTAGTCCCCGATCTGACGGCCTGTGCAACCACCAACGACTGCTGGAGATCTCCCCAAGGTTTGCAGAAATAAGTCAAGGCATGAGCGGTTGCTTGGAGACGCCAAATATGCTGCACGTCTGTCTTGCAGAAATGGTGGCGGCAGCCTTCGTACCTGACGCCGTACGGCTACAGATACCCGCCCATGTGGAGCAAGAAGGACTTGGCTCTTGGCATCTGGCTTCGTTCTGATTCCAGCATGACTCGAGATTTATGCACAGGACTATGCCCTGGCATGTCCAGCTCTCAGGCGTGTCCATGATGTGCCCGACTGACAAGTGCTGTTTTTTGCGAGGCACTGAGATGAAGTTGTCCAAGATCGAGGCAAACATGATCAAGGTATCCCGCCTAGCTGGTGAGAGTCCTGCAGTGATGGGCTGAGTGGGGCAAAAAACTGCCAGGACCTGAAGGACCGAGGCATGACCATCGAGGAGATCCGAGGGCGCGCGAGTGCGGGTCTTATTGCTGACTCCTTCGAGCCCCGCAGGCTTTTTGGGGCGCAAAACCGAAAATTTTTTTTGTCAGCGAAGAACACACGGGAAGGTGAATACTTTGTGCCTTTCAGGCGCCTTTGAGTTCATCGAGCACAGCAAGCTTCCAAAGCTCACGCCGAAGCTCACATTCCTGATGCAGGCCCTGAAGCTGCCGAAGATGGCATCGCAGCCACAAGAATGGCTTCGGTTAGGGAGTTAGGGACGTTTGCTGGTTCGAAGGCGGTAGAAATTTTAGCGAGTGCCCCGGAACTTTCAGGCTGAAAAATCTTGAGACCACAAAGCACATCAACATGCTGCTGTTCTCCATCTTGGCTCTTGTGGGCGCCGCTCCCTTTGTTACCGCCCGTATGGTCTTCTAGGAATCCGTTTACGACTTCGGTTTTTCCATTTTGCTTGGTTTTTTTTCCACCCTCGGTGGGGTGTTGCCATGTCTCCTCGTCCCATCCCCAGAGAAGCTCGCAGAGAACCCTGCCCAGTACCCGAGTTGAGGGATGGAACACGATAGTGAGTTCCCCAGACATGCAGCCTTAGGTCAAGGGGAGGTACGGCACCTTATATGCAGTACATGTACCGAGTGTCTGTAAAGCATGTGTGCGCACACACACATGTCACATGCGTATAAACAGACACTTTTTTCATGCATACACACATATAGCGCTAGATATGCGCGCAGCATGCTGGGTTCGGCTTTGCAACCCCACACAGGTGAAGGCCCTGTGGGAGGGAAAAGACCCGGCCGAGTCGGAGCTCATCGACATGGCGGATGCCTGGACCTCGGTTTTGAGATCTGCAGGGAGGTTTGGTTGGGTGAAGTAAGTCCTACAGGAGAAAGCGCTCCTTGGCGGTGTTGTCAAATTTGCCATGCAGCAAGACATGAGGTGTACAAGGCGGACACTGGCAAGGACTTGCAACTTGCCTGCACATGATTTAGATTGTTGATGGCGCGGGACCTCTGGACGTAGTTCATCTGCTATGGCATCCTTTCTACGCGCTCAGGGATGCAGAGGACTGAAAACCTCGAAGCGCTATGCTTCGGTGGATGGGTTGGCTTGCTTGCTAGCGCTCGCATGAGCATCTTTGACAGAAGTAGCTCAAATGCGAGTGCACCTTTCACCACCTGCAATCGTCAAAAGTGTGTCCGTAGACCATCGTCCACTTTCTTTGCGTGTCAGCTGGCAGGTGGTCTCTAGGTCGGTTAGTTACAAGGGCCCTCAGTATTCGCCCTGAATTTTCGTGTCGCTCAAAGGCGAGTGCACCTTTCACACCTGTCACCACCTGCAATCGTCAAAAGTGTGTCCGTAGACCGATGGTCCACTTTGTTTGCTGGTCAGCTTGCGGGTGGTGTTAAGTTGCAAGGGGCCTCAGTATTCGCCCTTAATTTTCGTGTCTTCCTCACGTACCCTATACAACACCCGAGCCCATATTTCAGAACCCTCGAGCACAGGTAATGCACCATATTCATTACGGGGCCATGTCTTTAGCCTCGCCTGACTCCTGATCGCTGCTGTTTGCAAGAGCCTATACAGCTTGCAGCATTACTGCGAAGCAAGCACTGGCCGACTGAATTCGCAGAACAGAAGCCGCTGACTAAGCCAGCTATGAGAAGTACACCCAGCCGCCCATCGTTCTCCACGTCTTTCAAGATGCCCAGTGCGGGATGCTGACCTCGCTGTGCATTCAGTTGAAAGCACAAGGACATGTACTATCATGTAGCCCATTGTAGTTCCCCTCATAGCTGGGACTGATGTTGGACGACAGCGGGGGGCGTGCGGCCCTTGGTCTGAGGGCTATAACTTGCATTGCAAAAGTGCAGCCATTGTCATGGCTCTGCAGGGTTCAGCTGGCTATGGCCAAGCCTCCTGGCAGCCGTGATCGGATGGCTTGCGCCTCGGGATTCCACGCAACATTGGGTCAAGACGGGCATGCATGACATTCTTGTCTGCCGTGAAGCATTGCCTTCTTGATGACGTTGGTATGTGTTGATGATGCGTCATTGGCATGCCTTGCCCGCGGTTTTTCCAGGCTCTTGATGCAACTTCTGTGGAAGGGGCCCAAGCCCAGCAAGGCCTCGAACCGCTGACCGGGTTGCGCATCACTGTGTTCTGGGTGCTGGAATCGTGCTCCGGCTTGCTAAGCGAAGGCCCAAGCTGAGAAGGCCCGTCAAAGAAACGCGGCTTCCAGCCCACAGCAGCCAGAAGAGTCAGGCGCGACATGCTTTGTTAGGTTTTGTGTGTTCTTGTGTGAATTGGCAAAACCCCTTGGCATCAGGTCGGACGCAACAGGCTCAGGCCAAGTGCTTTCTCACGTTGTATGACCTGGTAAGGCCCAGAGAAGCATGCTTTTTTCGGTTCTCTTTACGGGCAGGCGCCCGCAACAACGGAATCCCAGCCAGTGAGGCTGGTGGAGTCCGGCCCTTACGTTCTGCCATGTTGTGCCTTCTGCCCATGGCCCTGTCGCCATTCTGTTGTCCATCAAGGCAGGTGCAGAAGCCCGTGCCAGGCAGGCCTGGGAGCGTGTGCGAGAAGCGGGGTGATGGAAGTTCACACAGGACCTCCGCTCACCACCCATGACCAGCTGCGCTTCCTGCAGATTCTGGCTGTGCGGCACTGTGCAGATGCCATGCCGCAGACCTACGGCGTGAAAGTCGTTCAATATTCCTTTACGAAAAGGAGATACTGTGAGCTCTCAAATCAATCATGGCACTGTTTGCCTGAGGGAACTCAGCTGACCTCCCATTGCCCAGCAGTGGGGTGCTGTACCAACATGGGCCAACAGTGGGCAAGGCTGAGCCGAGTGAGCCGAGAGCACGCGCCGGATCCGGACAAGCTCAAGCGGCGTATCTGGCGCTACCTCCACGCGCCGGGCCCAGCTTCCCTCATGTTTTCTTATGTTTCCTTAACATCTTCTTGGGGCCTCTGAACTTCCTGAACGTTGAATTCTCGGAAGCCTGGAGCTGCTTGAGGGCCCGCGAAACCTCGCGCACAATCCGAGCACGCGCGGCCAAAGGATCCGTAGAGACCTGTGGAGATGTGGGTCCAAAGATGCCGAACTAGGTGCTTGGTATATGTAAGACATGAGCAACCGAAGAGAACCCCAAGAGAGAGAGAGAGAGAGAGCCGAATCGCTCTTGCTGTTCCGACATCATCGAACATGAATGTCAGCTTGCGGATATTTGAGTGAGCGCCTATGCCTGTAGCGGCCGCGCTGGCCAACGCATGGCTACGAACGACGTCCAGCAGTCGCCGGCATGAACCGCAAGGACCGACCGGACTTTGTGATGGCAAAAACTTCAGAACTGCTTAATTACCAAGAGAGATGAGCTCACGTGAGGATGCGTATGGTTGCTTGAGAGGCTCTGACCATGACCCATGGCCGTTCACAGACCAGTCTCCGTACATAGTACCACCATGTACCGCCCCGCATTTGGGGGTTTTCCAAACCGTTTCCCGAGATAGGCATACCTTGTCTTTGGAATAAGGATCATGAATGAACCGTTTCAGGGGGTCCCTTTTTTTTGGGAAGTGCCGATTTGTTATTTTAGATCCCGGCGGCGGCCTCAAGTGGCCCAGGAGTTGTTAAAGGAGCTCGATGCGCTGCAAGACAGATACAAGATCCAGCAAAAGCACCTTGCGCTCCAAACAGGCGTACCTTCTTGTCGGGATTCCTATAGACAGGGATACTAAAAGAATCAAGCCGTTCGACAGAGGTTGGTGATCTTTTTCTGAAGGTTTGGCAGCCAGGACTCTTCGGCTACCGCAGCATTTGGTGGAGGGAGCCCGATGGTCAAGATTACTTGTTTACCCATGGGGGTTTCCGAAATTAGGGGTACCCTATTGGGGTCCTTATTTGAAGGGAATCCTACTATTTGGGTTTTTTTCTTGGTGTTTTCGTAACCCCCCCCCATGTGGTGGCCTCCCAAGGTCCCATCGTCCACGACTTCAGTATGTGTTGCTGGTCCAGTGGTTAAGTGTGTCAGCAAGCAAAGAGTGGTGGCTTGAGACTAGCATCCAGGATTGGGGGTGAGGGGTGGTAATTTATAATGCATCGGGGGTTCGGATAGAGGGGGAAAAACTGCTATGTCACATAGTCCTTGACATAAACAGGAGGAGCGTAGGCGTAAACCGGAAGCCTGAACCCCATTCAGTCAGTCCTCCAGACTCTAAGCGACCCTGCCCTACCTTGCCTGCCGCCGAGTGCCAGATTCGAAATCCTAAACCCAACCCCGTTCCGTTTCTTCGCACTGTGAGGTACGGTCGCTCCGTGCTCCCAGAGTCCGCCGTGCCGATCGGGCCCGCAGCGCTCCGTGTGGCCGAGGACGCAAAGCGCGGTGCTTCCTTCCTGGTTCTTAGTCATGAGAGTATTCGGGAATGAGGACGACCAAGGTACCTTGCATACCCCCTTACAAGGTTATTTCCATACCAAGAGCCAAGAAGCTTCTGCGGGGTCCTCACAGGGCTGAGAGCGATGGAGTGTGAAGCGGAGACTGTCACTAGTGCCTGGCACTGCAATGCCAACTGCCAATGTGCGGAGCAACTGCTTTGCATTGTACTTGGGCTGAAGATGCAACATACATCGACAGTGACAGATGTAGGCCGCTGACGCATGGCACGAAACTATGTGGGTGGAGTTGCAAGCACAGCTTTGCAGGAGCGCTTGGCCACCCGATTGCCGCCTTCTCGGGCAGAGCGGGCGCTGGAGGAGATTGCCCTTGGCCAAGCGCTGTGGAAGAAGTTCCAGGAAGACGATTTCTGCAGCTTTAGCATGCCAATTGATTCGATAGAGGTTGCTCGCGGTCACGAGTCAAACATGGATTCCGCAGTGTTTTTTTGGGTCGGCGCCGCCAAGACGAGGAGCAGGCCGAGGCCGACGAGAAGAGCAAGGAGCTTCGAGGGCCGGATGGCGTGGCGCAGCGGAAGGCAGGGTGCCGAGGGCGGCACGCGCGCACGCAGAACGACGGCGCAGCATATGATGCATACCCATACGCATCCTCTGCGTGACCTCGTGGACCCATCTCACACGGTTAGGCACAACAAGCGCTGCAGCATGTGTTGGTTGGAAGCCTTCACAGTGTGCCAAGGAAGTCTGTGGAAGACCCGCCTGTTATCTTCCTTGATGCAGGATGGGCTTGACATGTCCTTCCATCAGCTGCTCAACGATGCCTCTCGCATGCGCACCCAACTGAATGAGATCGGCAGCTCAGACAGCATTTGGCTTGCGTCATAGAGGTAATTAACGTGCTGGACCGACAGCCGCCATCATTGACACCTTGGACATGTCAGGGCATGAGCACTGCAAGGGTTTGCGAGCCGGAGACCTTGAGAGAAGGATTCGAGGAGAGGGCAGCGATTGCCAAGCAAGAAAGCCCCGAAGAGAACTTGCATGTTGTACCTTGCCCGGCCCACCTTGCGCCACAAACTGAATGCAACAGACACAGATGTGGTGGCTGGACAGGCCTTCAGCTGGGTCAGGCTGGGCGCAGCCGCGCCTTGGACCACCTGCACGAGAGCCGGGCTGTTCCACGGGAGCTGCAGGAGCAGTACAGAGAGCAGCAGAAGGCCACCCAAACATTCAGCAGCCACCCCCGTGACTCTTGCGACGGTTGCAACTCCTGTGTGCGGCGTTCTGTGTATTGTCGTGTGTTGTAGGTGCTCGTGGAACAGAAGCGGCTTCTGGAGCAACTTCGGCACGAGCGCGAGCTTGCCGCTGGGGACCAGACGCTCTGCCACAAGGGTTCAGGTTTAGGAGCAGTATAGAAAAAAGTCCCTGAGACAGGGGCCGCATCTAGCAGCATATCCAAGGTATTGGATCCATCGCCAGAACCGGCTTGACCACCATGATAACATTGTGGGAAAGCCAGGACGGAGAATGTGTTGGCCATGGCAGAGGAAACGGATTGTTGTGCACGGGCACAGGAGTGGATCCGGCCGTGCCGCCAGAGGAACTGTACCAGGCCATTTCCAGCGATCTTAACTCGAAGCCTTCCCCATGGATGGTTTCATTGTAGCGCCCTGTGCCCGTGAGGCTCATCAGAAGATGAGGGACGGTCCCGAAGCTGAGCGGATCTATGGGTGGAGCGACCCCCAACCGGCAGCTGCCCCACAGGATGCGCGCGTGACTCATCTGCTCCATGCTCCGGTTGCCACATGAAGCTCCCTCATGGACTTCGGTTGCGAAGGGTGCTGTAGGGCAAGTGTTGGGTTTGGTGTGTTCGTGAAGGGACTCATCGTAGGTCCTAGGTCCTAGGTTTTGTGTGGGTCAAGCCCGACAATGATCGCGCCATCACTGAACCGGTTCTAGCTTCTGAGGTGTATGCCGAGATTCTCCGTGTGTCGCGCAGACAGCAGCCGGGAACTGTGGCCGAGCTATGCATCATTGACAGGGCCTGGCTTGAGCAATAGCTTGTCAAACCCAGCACCCAGCCAAGCCTCTTACTTGTAGCTAGCACCTGGATTGTCCTGTGTAGGCTGGGGAAGGTCAAATTAGTGAAGACGCCTTGCCGGGAGGCAGGGGTGACGCTGGCCCGCTGCACGGCAGACTTTCCAGACCAAGTTGGAGAACGCTGCTGTATGGAAGTGACAGTTCCAGCGACTTCTGTCAACAGTGCCACAGCAGAGGTGTCGTTGCTGGGCCCCAGCTTGCAAAACACCATCAGAGTGCCATTGGTGAAGTTGAAGGAGGCCCGTGGGCAACCTCAGGACTACACAATGGAAGGTGAGAAGCCACTGATCGTCAACATGGACTTGTGCTGCGCGAAGCCACAAGACTCACGTGGGCACAAGCTACAGTCGTCACGGGTGGTTGAGAACGCAGCGGGAGTTTGCCCGGTTTCAGACCTGCCTGGAGCATACCCTGAGCTACCTGCTTCAGATGCACATCGGCGTGCGCAGAAGGCAGCATGGGAGAGACAGGGGCGCCCCGACTACATCCACGACGTGGATCTGTCGCACAACTTAGCCCATGAACTCGAACGTCGAGCTAACGCAGTCGCCTTGCGCAAGAGAGCGCCGGTGCCATCCATCAAGGCCGCGCGGAATGACGCAGAACCGGCAGAACCAACGGCCCCAGGTCTTCGGAAGCTGCCCAAGGAGGAAAGGCCCGTCCAAGGCACATGGGGCAGATCGGGTGCTAGCGTGGGTGCCAGCGTGTCTTCCATACCTTATCGCACCTGTCTGATTGTTTGTGGAGCCATCTCCTATCTGTCCATATCTCCCAAGCAGGTGGCTTCTTTTCTGGCTGGGAGGAGCCGGAGTATCCCGACGATGATGAGGAGCACTCTCGGCCACCCGGACAGACTAATGGTGGTTGTGCTGTGTTCTGCTGGCTTGTGGTGGGTCCGTTGTTCTGACTGGCTTTGAATATCGGCCTCGGGATGGCAAACCTGTCGCGCACGTGCTTCGCAGCTGCTGAGGGCACGCTCTGATATCTCGGGTGCTTCGGCCGCCCCATCGCAGTTCCGCGAGGGCTCTCGGGGCTTCGATGAGAGGGGGCCGCGCGCGGAGGAGGAGCGGGAGGCAGCCATAGGAAAAGGGGCCTAATGTGATCCAGCTTATCCTGGGGTATAGGTTCTACGCAAGGTGTGGGAAATCCTCTTCTGTGTATATATATAGGTCTATCGAAATAATGGCTTTAAGAGTTGGACATCATAGTTTTTAACTTTTTAAAATGAATTTTACATTTGAAGGTAAGAATTATAAAACCAAGCACAGCATGTCCCATTTGGCTTTGACTTGGAAAGCCGTGCCATGTTGGCGCAAGCACATTTTGTGAAAGAACTTCCAGGTCACCAGGTTTGAGCTATGGCACAGTCCTGCTTTCTCCAGGCCATGCAGGCCCGCAGGAGGATGCGGACATGTTCGCATTGATCGCTGATGCCCTTACCACTCGTGGAGTAGAGACGGCCAAAGACTTGTTATGTGGTTACGTTTGATTGGCCTTTGCGGTGGAGACGTCTCCCTGGGTACCGCAAACTCGAAGCCGCACTTTGCAGCCGCAAATCCAGAGATGAGGAGGGAGCTGGGAGAGAGAGCCTGCTCATGGCTTGCGTAGTTTCGTTGCTGCACCCTGGTGCCAAAAATTCAAGCCTCCCCCGAGTGATGAGTAGTAGTGGCCATACCGTGAATGGCAACAAATACGAGGGTTACGTGAGCCATCGTTCGTGTCCTTCAATCTGAAGCAGGCTAAGCCCAACCAGTCGAAAGTTGTAAAAATTTTGCATGGGCTCACATCTGGACAACGTTCAGGCCAGCCAATGGTGCCTCAGGCTCACAGTTTTTCCAGGTTAATAGCCGAAGGCTATCACAGACTGCAGAGAAGCCGCCGCGTGATGAAACGAGCAACACGGAGTGAACACACGCAGGTTAGATTCGTTGTTATGGGGCAGGTGGCAGCTGCACATCACACATCCGTAGCAGCCTCGCCCGCCTTGTGCCAGTGTGAGAGTCGAAACTTGTTTTCCGTAATATATTGCAACGACTTCTTCGTAATGAATACATCTTGTACAACAAGTGCTTTGAGCGACATATGTCTTGAAGATTTCAGCCCTATGTCATGAATGAATGGATAAATGAATAACTATATATATATATACTCCTATATATATGTCACATATTAATTATGTTTTTTGTAAGGGCAGGTTTTCGTGCCAGCCTTTATTTCGGAATAGTGTTTACGAGTGTCTGCAAAGGCAAGATTCAATGTTTGATTCGTAGCGTTTTTTAGGCTTCAGGGCAGCACAAGTTGTGTTTCCTTTGGTTTGGACTTTGGATTGAAGTGTTTGTAGAGGCAGAGTTGAACTTGTATTGTTGGTTGTGAATGTCTGTTTCAGGTCTTTTTTGCGTTTCAGAAGTTCATGTTTGCATTGGGTTGGTGTTGTGTTCAAGGGAACTTGCGAGAAGGAACTTGCAATTCACGATTGGTTTGATTTTTGGTTTAGTGTTTTAACTACTTGCGCAAACAAGTTTTAAACTTAAAAACACGGGGTTCCCACTTACGTAAAGGTTCATGGCACATAGGTCAACGATGAGCGTCTATTGCCGTGGCAGCTGCAGTGCGAGGCCAGCCTAACACCTCGCCGTCACCATGGCCTCGCCGCAGCTTGGGCGTGATTCGTGATGCTGTGTGCCGGCATGTTCTGGCACGTTCCTGTCCATGTGGCAACGCCTGTGGGTCCAAGGAACATGGTGGAGACATTGATGAGCTGGACTTCACCAGTGTTCGGCCGAGCTCTTCAAGAGCACGGCTTTCGGAGGAAGAATTCGCGAATGGACCCTCGCGATATGCTGCGGGTAGTGCCGGTTTCCGACGAAGTGGCGGCAACGAGGGCGTTCAGGCCCTGTCAACCATAGAGCTTTGCCATAAACGGCAACGGCTATATTTTAAACAATTTTTGCGATGCCAACTGTATCCACCAGCGTTTAGAGTTGGTGTCAAGTTGGTGTGTTGGATTTGGAATTGTCAAACAGGCCATCCCCGTAAAGCCCCGAGCGAATACGCGGCACGTGGGAGGTCGCTCATGGACACCATGGGTCCACGGACAGCCCGCCTGGAAGGGGAGCGCCCCGAAGCCACTCCCAGCCGGTGACGAAGAAAAAGAAAAAGGCCCAAGCGCCGAGGCGTCACTACATTGCCTTGGGTTTAGCTGTTCAAGCCTTCACTTGAAGTGTTTTGCACTTGTGTTGCCCGTTTGCTAAGTCGCGCCGACATGCGTTGCAGGCCATACTTTGAAGCGGAGGAGATCGACCACACGCCCCGCGATACATTGGGGGAAGTCCCGCAACAGTCCCAAGATTTCGGGTGGATGCTGCCCGGTTTCCCATTTGCGGCATTTGCCGGATTCGGATCTGCAGCTCCCTCCTCGGGGCCAGCCACTGGTGAGAAGGAGGAAGACCCAGCCTCCAGCGAGGCATGTTGCCTCTTTCCAAGCATGTGCCCTTGGTCACTCGTGCAGGTCGATTGAAGCGGGTATGGCTCTTCTTCCAGCTATTGAGAAAGCCTGTTTACCCATAAGATCTGAACCGTGCTCCAAAACGACAGGCGGCTGCAGCTGAGTCGCCGCAGGAGACTTTGTCTCAAAGATGCGGGGCAGGGCTGAGGGCAAGCAAAGCGATGCTGAAGCCGTGTTTTTGGTAAACAAATCGTAAAAGTAGATAAAATCGAAGAGCATCATATATTCATAAAATTCCAAACAGCACATTTAAAACATAACTTTTCCACATAACAATTTTTCCTGAAACGTGGCTCTGGCTACACATCCAGTGTCATAACTCTAAACCCAATCTGGAGCCACACTAAACACCATCCCCGAATGGTGGAGTGGTTTCGAGAAAGCATGACAAGGCCAGTAGACGCTTCAGTCCCAAAGCATTCTGCAGGAGGGTCTGAGCTTTGCCAGCTTCACCCTCCCCTTTGCAGCCTTTGCAGGTTTTGGTGCCTTGTCTCAACTGGGGCTTGTCGCAACGGTCCTTTAAGGGGACGGCCCCTTGGGAAGAGCCCCTTAACGGGTAAACCCTGACTAAACAGGGAATCTGCCTTTTTGGTTCTTTGTTTTTGAGTAGTAGCAGTCGCAGTCGCAGCAGGCGTCGTAGTAAGTAGGAGTAAGTAGTAGTAAGAAGTAGTAAGTAGTAGTAAGTAAGTAGTAGTAAGTAGTAGTAAGTAGTAGTAAGTAGTAGTAAGTAGTAGTAAGTAGTAGTAAGTAGTAGTAAGTAGTAGTAAGTAGTAGTAAGTAGTAGTAAGTAGTAGTAAGTAGTAGTAAGTGGTAGTACGTAGTAGTAAGTAGTAGTAAGTAGTAGTACGTAGGAATAAGTAGTAGGAAGTAGTAGCAAGTTGTCGCAAGTAGTCGTAAGTAGTTCCAAGTAAGTCGATGTACCCTTGAAGCGTTAAACCATCTAAGCCCGTTCACGTAGCTGCGCTGAAGCCTTCGAGTCAGGTGTCCGAAACCAAAACCGCCTAGAACTCCCGCTTTGAACTCCCCGTCAATTGGCCTGGACTAGTAGTAAGAACTACGGCTGCGAAGTCGCAGTGGTAATCAACGAATTTGCAGGCGACGAGGGCACTGCGTCGAAACCGAAGGCGAAGGCGCCCCCGAAACCAAAGCCTCCGGCGCCCAAGCCGCCGAAGCCAAAGCCAGGCGCCGAGTTTAAAGGGTTTGAGAGGGTTTGGTGTCAAAAAGGCTGTGAAGGGAGCGGCGCGCTCGACCAGGTGTGCTCAGACAAGCCTGTGTAAAAATGTCTATGGTGAAGATTCGCTGTGGGGCGCGACGGGCAGTTTTTTTGTTCATCTTGGAGTCTTTTGTTGCAGCTAGCTGCTGTGCAGGGGCGTGTTCATGTCTTGGGTTACATGTGTACTTTACGAGAAGGAGGCCTTGGTACTGTTCCATGGGCTTGGCCAAGCGGAATTCCCAAAAGTGCAGCGTGTGGCCTCTCAGGTCTCCAGTGGCACGCAAAGAACAGAAGGACGACCAGGCTGGCGAGGGCTCCGGAATCAAGATGGCACGTAAACAAGCCATCGGAACAGGATCAGCTAGTCTTTGTTTCATATGGGTTAACCTGATTAGAGTCGCCCCTGATTGATGGACGGAAGGTCAAAAAGATGGCTCAAGTCGGGTGGCAGCCTTGGGCGACATACGCTGCCGAAGATGCCGAGGACAGCCTCGATGACATCAGTGCGGCTTGACCCTGCACTCGTTGCCCGTAGAAGCCGTTAGCTACTTATCTTCCCTGGTACCTTCACTGGGCTTCCTCTGAAAACTATCCTCTCATCCAAAATCTGGAACCTTTCAGCTAGGGCGCCCTAGATTTTTTTTCCTTAGCCAGCCCCAATACATGATGCTGAGAGGCTGCGTTCCAAACGTGAGAGGGTTCCCGGAACAACGGGCGCAGGGCAGCATGGGAATGATTGGGCATGCCAGCTTGGTCCATAGGAGCCAGGGAATCAGGAAAGCATCGTGTTGCCCCTCCGCCCGCCGCACAGCTTCATGGCTGCAAGGTGCCAGAAACTCACTCGAAAGGACCCGATACCCGATATTACCCGATCTTCACACGTCAGATGCGTGAGGTGTCTGCTTATCGTCGGTTCTTGGCTGTTGCTCAGGCAGTCGGACTTTGGACCAGCTCTATGCCAAGCTTTTTCAACGACAGAAGGACGGCAAGCTCGGCATGCGACTCGTGGGGCAGGACGCTGGCTTACGACGAGGGACTTTAACAGCTCCACCCTTCAAAGGCTTCCAGCCTTCAAAGGCTTCCAGCCAACCTTCAAGGGGCCTGGGGCACTCCCCGACAGCAAGTTTGCACGTTGAATCACTTAATTCGCCATGGATAGGCAGCTTTCCTTTCGTTGCACGGCGCAGTTGCAGAAGCGCGTGGAGCTGGTTGTTTGCAGGACGTTTTGGAGCTCGCAGCGCGCGTGGCCAGAATGGAAACACTGGCGCCGAACCTGCACGAGCACGAGAAGGCCAGCGATTGCGAGCGCAAGAGATAGTATGCGTAGCATAATACTGTAACTTTCAAAAAATATAAAGAGAGAAGCATATCGCAAGATAAGAATGACGTGAAAACCCACAAAAACCCCCAGATCCCGAGGCCAACCCTGGTGGGGCCCACAAAACCATGACAGCCTATGCTGCCTTGATCCTGGACTCCATGCAGAAGTACGAGAACAGCTCCTGGGCGGATCCAAAATGTTCCGATATTTTGGGGGCTTTGGGGTTCATGGGTGGGCTTACAATCGAAAATCCCCACAGTGGTGGCAACACAACCTAAACCCTAAAACTCCGGACCAGGCCATCGTTGTAGGGACAAACCCGAGGCTCTGTGCTGGGCCTTTGGTGCACAGAGGCGCTGATCACCTTGTTTCGGGCGGGCGACGCGTACCAACAAGCTGAATTCTGCGTGCCTTTCTTCAGGGCCTTTGTTGGGTCCTTAGCTTTTGTAGCAGACCTCAGGTCAAGCAGAGGGTGCAGCCTTTTTACAGTTTAGGAACAAGAAATGGCTGTTTAGTGAGCTGCTGCTTCCGGTCGAGAATGATGTTGAACAAGGGAGATGATGTCAAGGTTGGTGTGGCCCTGCGCTTCCGCGATGCCCATATGCCCAGCCTCCACTTGCGACTGCTGCAAGGCACATCTTTGTGTGGCAACTGCATCGCAGTCTGATTTAAGGCTGGGCTTGGGGATCACGCTCAGCATCAGACTCTTGTGAGAGGCATGGCAGACGTTGTCAGCCCCGACTGCCGGCTTTGTGATCCGGGGCTTGTTGACTACATCATTGACCAGCTCGACAGGAACAGGAACAAGCTCAACACTCTCACGGTGGAGCATGCGCTTGCCATTCTTTGTGTCCTTCGAGCACCACACCGGGTCAGTGAGCAGATACGGCATTGCCTGCTGGTGATCCGCGGCTTGAAGTCCGAGCCATACCTTTGCGTCCGGGCACCTTGGGCAGCACCCGGGCACATTCACCACGGAGCCTTGATAAGAAGCCTTATAAGTGCAAGAAGTTCCGCGGCATGCCTCCGTAGATTCTGTAGATGCTCCTACAACCGTAGGCTTTGGTCACCGCAGCCGAGCTCTACGAGGTTGTTGGAAGCCTCATTGAGCGCGAGAGGGCATCAAAGCAGAACACGCGGGGCTACTATGGAGGCCCTTCGCCTCGCAGACACACTTGTGTCATCTTGTGTTTTAGGTTACTTTCTTCCAGGGAAGTTCACACATTCTTCGTTTCATCGCTGGGGGCACGGATGGTTGGGGATGCTTAATATAGATGCTTAGATGGATGAAGGGGTGGACAGGCAAGTGACAAGGGCGACCCGGTACACAAGAAATATGATTCGGCCACTTCCGAAGGCAAACTCGGGGTTGCGATTTGTGTTGAGATTGAGGGGTCCTTTGACCATACTGCCCAAGTATTTGCTCTGTTTGCCCCCTAAAACCCAGAAAAAAGATAGACAACAACAAGGAAAACCCTGCAAAGCGCAGCAGTTCAGGCTACGCCTTCGATGAAGATGCCCAGGATGCCTTTGTTGCTGAGCTGGGCCTTCCACCCGCAGGCATGGACGTGCGACTTGTGGCGACCGTGATGGACCTGTAGCTTTGACGCACAGCCGTTCTTAACGGCTGGGAATGTAGCGTGGTTTTCGGTTTTGGGGTTTGGAGTTCAGGGTTGTTTGGCTTGTGGCTTCAGACATGTGCACATTTCGATCCGGCATTTGCACTTCCCAATGCCAGTTGTAGATAGCCGAGGTATCCCAGCAATCGCAAACTTGCTGGTGCAGCACTGCGTGCTTTTGCAGCCATGGCAAAAATCACAAGCCACTTGGGCCAGCAAAAAAGCAGTCTTTCCTTCACCGTGAAGAGGATCACGAGGTCTGTGCCGACCTGGCTCAAATCAGCTGAAAACTGTGTGCTGCTGCTACGATGGTTTCTGCTTCACACAGAGGAACATGCGACACATGCGCAAAAAGGGCGTCCCCAGCGATCTGCCAAGGAAAGCACTTGCAAGACATTGTGGCTGGGGAGGTGAGGCCCATTTCCAACACCCTGCATGAGCATGCCAAGAGCCGCTCCGTCAACCTCCATGTTGCAGAGCTCATCCTTCTGGTGGCGAAGACGCGTCGCCTTCTCGGTCTTCTCAGCCATGCACAGCCATGCCAGAACCTGTGTGTTTTGTAGAACATGTGACCAGAAGCCTGGCAAAGGCCCTCCGCTCCGTCCCCACACCTTGAAAGGAGTAGCTTCGCACTTTCGCTGAGGGACAGATCTTGTATCTGATGGACTGACGCTTGGGTGGCACATGGTTGCACCACAACGGGGCCTGGGGCCCACATTGCTTTGAGTAGCTTTCCCATGCCAAGGATGATGATGGCCTGCAAGTCGCTGAGGAGTTCTACGCGAGATGCGGTAGCATGGCTGAACCGCAGGAAGCAGGTAGAACTTCTGGTGGACTTTGCATTGCTTTGGCAGTGTTTGAGCCGAGGAAATCGTGCGCCACATCTTGGTGTCTTTGCAGACCTTCCTTGCCCAGGCATCCTCCAGTTCCAACGGAGGTCCAGCAGCCGTGAACCGATCCCTGGCACAAGCGCTGCCGTTTGACGTCCTCGTGCGTGTGGGCGACATTCACCACGAGAACTCTGACGTCGTTTCCCCTTTGTGTCGCTGCATAGATCTGCAGGCCAGTTGACATGCTCGTCGAAGTAAGTTCGTTTTAATCAGTATGTCAGACAAGGGCTTGTTAGGAGAAGCTGCCTACAATCAGCTGTTGTTGGGGCCGGAAAGGAAAGATAGTTCTTGGAGCTTGAGCCTCAGATTTGCGAAGGTGAATCTGAAGAAGCCAATGTCAGACATCCATGTTGTACAATTGTCCCAGGTCTTGAGCAAAGTCCCACCAAAGCTTTCATGTGTGATAGCATGGTCGGTTGTCTGAGCTTCTTGGCCCCCAAAGCTGAGGGTACCCTGGATTGCTTTCTCGATTTAGTACAGCACCTTCTTTCTTCGCACTTTGGGCGTCAGCTCTCGGCCGCGCCCCTCATTTTCTGAAACCAATGTTCTCGTTTTTCGGTGCGGTCGCTGCACCTTTATCACACGGACCTTCAAGGGGAGGGACCCTATCTTAGTTAAAAGCAAGCCCCGATTCAACCCTGACACGTGCCAGCCCTAGCCGTAGCGACGGAGCGAGGCGGGAGCCTCCAAAGAGTATCGCGATGACTTCGTGAACGCCGGCGCCATGGCAGTCCCGCTTCGTGTTTTCGACGAGGCATTTAGCTTGAGAGCCATGTCATGGCAACCCATGTATGCTCATGTGCTGGCGGGCGAACGTGGACAGGCAGAGGTGCACACTCCCGAAGCATGCGCGGCTTCAGCCCGGATCATGAAGGTCTTGTTGAGCCTGGGATGCCAGGTGTTCTAGCCAAGCAGCAAGACATCATGTCGGGCTTCGGGCCTTCGAGGGTAGCATCTCGTCTCTTGCGGGGCATCCTGGCTTGCTTTTGCAAGGAACAGCCTTGTGGCTTTAGCAGCCTACTCAGGCCTTCTGGCACATTACAATGGCATACGGACTTCGGGCGTTGTCTCAGGGATCGGTTTCTCTTTGATGACTGCTTCGCCTGGCAGACGTCCTGCACATGGACCCTTCTCGAAAGCTCTAGCGACCGAACTTGCGTTGCGAATTGAGAAGCAGAAATGCCGTTTCGGCAACAATACCTGAAGTGTATCTGCTAACTGTTTGCTAGCTGGAACAATAAATTCACACGTTAGCCGTAAAAGTCAAACCGCGCCGAGAAACATGCATCAGCGAACGACTGGTTTTGCTGTTTTTCCTTATAAGGAGTCGGAATTCATTCTTGCTCGACAAAGTGGCAGCTTTATATTCAATTGCTCTGCAGTTCCGCGAAACGGGATCTTTGGAAGGCAAAATTGTCAAAGCAGGTGCAAGTGCGAAAGACCCAAACCTCGAGACGGAAAACTTCGTGAGCACGGCGAAAGCATACAAATCTTTCGTAGTTTCAGACACATCCACAAGAAGCCCTTGTCTTGTTTGAGGGCTCATGCCTTGAAGTTGGGCCTATTTGAACATTCGCACACCAAGGACGGAGTCAAAGAAAGCCGCCAGTCAATTCATGGACGCTGGTGGCCCACGGCTACTCCTCAACGTCCTGAGCAAGCAGTCGGACAGCTCCGAGGTGATGACGGGGCTCCCAGAAGCATAACTTGGGCTGGAAGACAATTTCCTGGGGAGGGCCAGCTTTTGACAAGCATCCTCATCGCTCTGTGTATCTCTAAGCCACACAAATGCGAGTCCAACTTCCGCTAAAGATCCCAAATCATTAGAATCACTAGACTACGGCATGAGATGGCAAGCAGATTAAGTCCTTGAGAGGTCGTGCACCACTGCTTCGCAGCCATGGCCGTGGCTGCACAATTCCTGCCAGCACCTTCCTCAGATTCCATGAAGGGATGAGTCTTGAGGTGTGTGAGGTGTGTGTGGGGGAGAGTGGGAGGAGGACCAAGACCACAAGCCAAGGAAGCTGGTTGGCTGTAGGAGCAGGTCGAGGTCACATTTCAGCAGGGGTCCCCCCATATGTCTCTCCTGCTGTCAGTAAACGTACAGGTGCTCTTGGCCAGCGGCGTTGGCCAGCTTTCAGCTGGTTTAAGTGGATCCAGATTCACTACGAATGTCCAGACATTTCATCCAGAGAGCCTGCCCCAGCTATGTTGGAACTGTGGGGCCTTGGGGCTCACTTGGGGCTCACTTAGGCTTCACCGGCGACAGGCAGCGTGTGACCCCGAACCCTCCTTGCCTGGGGCCGAATATCATCATCAGCACTCCCCGATCATCAGCGGGACCACTCGCCCAATCTCGCCAAAGCTGCCGGCCGTGGCAGTCCCGACTGCGGTCGTGTTCAGTAGTCAGTAGTTGGCAGCTTGCTGCTGGTTTTCATGATATTTCCAGGCCGTGCTGGTATCTGGGACTTCCATTTTCTCGGATTGTTTCGGATATGTGCGGGCATTCAGATTAGCCTTCTGGTGTGTGCGCTGTGATGCCGTTGCTTTGCCACCCTTCGGGCGCTGAATAATCTGGTGTGTGAATTTCACATTGGCCGCTGGGCCGTTAGGCTTCCAGAGTTGCAGTCAGGAAAACCGAGACCTGACGACACGTGTGGAATGCTAGCGTTCGTGCGAGAACGGAAGTCCCGGGGTGTACCAGGCTGTTTAAGGCGAACGGTGTGGGCGCTGATCGCCTCCCGGTGCAGCAAAGGTCCGCTGGGCGTTGGTGCATCCGCAGCTACCCCACACAATGACCTTCCTGGACTTTTAGGGTTTGTGGTTCTTGGTGACTTGAGGCTTCAAAGGCCAAGGGTTCAACTGGGCCTCGCAAGCGGCATGATGCAAGTGGATTTAAACCATGCATGCTCCACTCCACGCTGGTCAGCAGGACCAGATCCTGCGTGTGGCGGATGCGCACGTTGCCTCCATTGCAGACGTGTTGCCGTGCCTTGGCTGTCTTGGATGCTGCATAGGTCCACGACCCAGGTGGCGTGTTTGCACCATAATTCTTGCGTCCGCAGGTGGGCTTGCCTTGCGGTCGGTGTCCTCACCGAGTGTGAGCATGAGGAGAGCCAGGAGATGATGCGAGCAGCTATCAACCAGGATCTACTCCAGAGCATGTTGACAAAGATGCGCTCTCATTACTCTTTCCGTGGTGATCTGGACTTCTGCATGCAGCTCATCGACAGCGCTGCGAGCTGCGACCTGTCGGACCGTGTCATCCTCTCTGAAGATGGCGCGCTGCTCAAGATGCCAACGCCGAGGTTGGATGTCCCAGAGCCGCCCAAGGATTTCCACGCAGAGACCGTTGCCATCGTCCCCGAACCTGTCAACATACAGGGTGACTGGCACGAGCCATTGGACTCTCAGCTGTTTAGGTTTTTGCTTGTCCTTTTGGGTGAGGGCACGGCAGAATGCAGCCATGTCTTTTTTGGCATGCAGAGGACGTGTTTGGGCCTTTAAGAACGCTGGGAGTTGGCAAGTCGGCGGCCGAATTTGGCGCGGCAATTACGAAGGAGCAAATCGACGTGCTGCGAGGCCCCCTTTTGATGCCCGCCGAGCCGAAATGTGCCGAAACCAGTGCCGAGTCCAGCCCCTGTCCAGCCCTCAGGTGTGGCTTCTGCGCCAGTCAAGCAGCAGATCGCGAGCCAGTTTCTGCGAGCGGTTCGAGACGAGTACTTGGAAGGCAGGATCCTGCCATGGCTTTGCGTATTGTAATTCAATCCTGTGAGTTTTTTGCATGAGTTCAGAATGCTTAACTTCTTCTTCATGACTTTTCTTGATGCCCCTGAACATCCTGAGGCAAAGCTGGGGCTATCGAGACCTTCATGACAAGGAGAGGGCCTCCAGAAGAAGGTGACGATGGGGTCCTCTATGAAGGAGAGTACCTACTTACAGCTGATGAGCAAAGAGCACTGAGGCCGTTCATTCAGCGTGCCTCAGCTTCAGACCTTACCTTTGCTGACCTGCAGTTGCTGATTGCAGTGCCAGCACCTTCTTCTCGCAAGATCTTGCAGCTTAAGCCAACCATGTTAGGGGTGTTCATGGGTGTTCCCAGCATGTTGGGGATGTTCAATGGCTCAGCTCTTTGCAACCCTGTGCCTAGGGATGCAAGACGCGCCCGAAAAGCCCAAAGAGTTTCTGGAGATCGAGCACCGGTGGAATGTCAAGGCCTAGGGTTGAAGGATCAACGGCCTTCGATTCAAGGTTTAGGGCAAAGTTTAGGGTGTTGCCTGGACAGAAAAGGAGGCGTTCCTTCCTGTTCGCGTGGGTGCACGCAAATGCAGGCTGCAGAGGACATGCCAGAAGAGCAAGGCGGGGGGTTTTGTGGGGTGGGAATCGGGGTCAACGGTTCAGTGCACATGCGCCATCATGCGCCATCTCTCTTGTTGATCAGCTTGATCTGCTCGATGCCTGCCTTAGGCTTCTTCGCCTCTGTCTTCGGTGGCTCCACGCCTGCCGCAGCTGAGCCAAAGGCAACAGTCGAGGCTGAGCCCAAGGCAGCACCAAAGTCTGAGCCGAAAGCCCAGGCTCCGACAGTGCATGCAGTAGAGTAGAGCTCGTGGCCTCTTGCGAATGTCTTGCTCCGACATCTTGCTGCAAGAAGTCGTGTTATTCGCAGACCAGGACACCTGCTCAGGATAGGGTCGCTCGTCAAGAAACGCTGGAGGTTTGAGAAAGGCATGCCTCCGGCTTTATGTTTAGCCTCCGCCCGAAGGTGTGGCTTCGCCTCAAGCTGGCATGCCCTCTAGACACTTCCGAAGGGACTGTCGGATCGGCATGCCAGCAACATGGCACCCATCTGGCTTCAAAGAGCAGTTCGGCATGGGGGGGGGGGGGGGGGGGGGGGGGCTGTCCTAATCTGTGGACAGATTCTAGAGCTGAGGACAGCAGGGAGCCTGTATGTGATTGTTGAGGACTGCCACAACGTCATAGCCACGGGGTGCGCCGACGGCAAGGCGAGCCGCTTGCTGGTCTGCTTTCCGAGAAGTGTCCAGCAACCAAGGGACCTGGATGGGATGTCTGCTTGCGCCACTGAGGCCAGAATTCATGACGTGCGTTCTGGTCGGCAGCTGGCCCTCGCTGACATGATTGAATCCATGGGTGTGGCTTTGTGTGATATGCGCGTCTATCTGCTACTGTGACAGAAATCGCATGCAGAGTCGCAGGAAGGTGGGCTAGATCGCCGGAGCCCACAAAGCCATGGCAGATCACAGCATGCTTCGCATGTGTCAGTCGGACGCAGATACCCAGAGAGTAGGAACAACAGAAGCAGTATGAAGCGGTTGTTCGGGATGAAAGGGTTAGCTGAGACTACGCTGCAGGTGAGCACCCGGCATGATGCCACCAACCGCGATGGAATCAATTCCCTTCTGCTGGCGCCACGGCCTCAACTCAAGCCCTTGTTCCGATTTGGGCGGAGTGTGAAGCCTTTGTTGAGCCAATCAGCCGTGCAATTCCACGAGCTGGGCTTTGCGATCGTCGCTTCGCAGTAGGACCGCAGGAGTGCTCCTCACGAGATCTTAAGAGTACTAACAGTGCCTTGTGTGCGTTTGCTTGAGCAGACCTTGGGCCCAAAAGGCGAAAAGGCCCAGGCCATGCCCACCAGCAAAGTCTCTGCGGAAGAGAGGCCCATGGAGCAAGAGCAAAAAGAGCAAAGCAAAGAGCACAGCAAGGTCTCTCCGGGAGCTCCCGAGCTCGAAGCTTGGCTGGAGAAGACCTTGAGCCGCTTTGAAGGTGGAAAGCAGGTGGTCATGGAGAAGCTCAAAGAAGATTGGTGCTCCGACTATGCTACTCTCGTCGAGAGCTGGGAAGACCTCAAGGACAACATTCCTGGAGCATTGCGGAACACGATATCGCAGCAGCTGGCGAAGGATCGGTTCAACAAAGTCGACGCCGTTCCTCAGTTGCTTGCTTCAAACTGGATGGTGTCATGGGCAGTAGCCTTGTTGGCAATGGTGGCCCCCTCCGTGTTGGCTGCATTCAAAGATCGCGGCCGTCAAGCAGAACAGGTGGTCGAGCAGAATGTGGGTGAGGTGTGGGTACCATTGGGGGTGTTCTGTCTCTTACAGTATCTGGCCTGTGCAGCCATCGCGCCGAAGATTGGCTGGAATATGATTGAGCAGCGCTCAAACGGCATCAACCTCAGGGAGGCCATGCGCAACAACATGACGAATCAGGCAGTGATTGGCGCGCTGTTCCTCACAGTTGTGTGGACCATGGCCGTGGACCAGACCATGGCTGGCGACGACCGGTTCTCGCTGATCTGTCAGTGGTACGAAGGCTTCTCCACATTAGCAGTTGGGCAGCTAATCGTCGCAGTCATGACATGTGCTTTCATTACGCTCTACCTTGAGCCCCTCGACGAGACAGCTTCCTTGAAGTTTGTGAAGGACAACTTCGTATACTTTGGGGAGCCATTGGCACTCATGCTGGCGGCCTTGTACAACGGACTCTGTGCAACGATCTTATGGGTCTTCACGGTGTATGGACTTGGTTTGGGTGTGTGCTTCAGCATTGTGGTTGGTCTTGCAATCCTTCGCTTGTCTGCCATTTACGGATATCTGTGCAGATGGAAGAATCCGTATCTGACAGTTGAGGATGTCATAGCCCGAACCCAAGAAGCAGCCAGCATGGCACGTGCCGGGGACCTTGCAGGTACCGAATGAGAGGGCTGGGGGCAGCGCGAAGAGGGGCCTCCTGAGCTTGCCTTAGAGCGTCAAGCCATTCGCTGAGTGAATGTGCTTCAAATATCTGCAAATCTCCCGCAGATCTCCGATTGCTCCGTTCGCGCATCAATGCATGTCGCGGACGTGGATTTGAAACCCTTGGCCTTTGGCCGCTTGTACTTTGCAGTTCGTCATAGCCCATGGGCCAAAACATCCAGAAAACCATCACAGCCGGACGGCTTGAAGTGCAAGCCCGCACCCCAGGCCGGGGCCACGTGGGCCGATCCTGCTGACCGGGGCCTGGGATGGTCGCTGGCACGAGTGGGAGCAGTGGCCCACACGGCCGGGCAGCCCAGAGGGGGATGTGTGCGGCAATGCCTCCAGAGATGTTTTACTGAGTCAATCATTCCATGCATATCCACACACACAGCCCTCATCTAATAGATGCTGCTGGATCTGGACGTACGGAGCATCGGCGCACCGCGATCCAAGAAAGCTCAGACCTGCCCCCGCAGAACAGGCTACTTCGAATTGCATCTTCAAATTCCTTGTATATGCGAAGCCCCAAGACCAGAAGAATGTGGCAAGCACACGTTGAAGGCCGTCCCTGAAGTAAGGCCAGCAGAGCAGGCAGCAAGACTCTGATCAATGTAGGGCGATTTGGATGATCATTCATGCTTTCGCACCAGCGATGTAGCAGCCGTAGCCCCGAAAACTTCATGAGTGTGAGTCGGAACACTTACATACGCGCTTCATGCTTGTGCAGGCCGGCCAAACCTGCAGAGTCCGTGTTCTCAGCTGCTCTCCAGTCCTTCTTGCGCCAGAAAGCCAATAGACTGACCGTGCGATGCCGTGTGGCAGTCGCAGCAGGGTCAATCTCTCATCTCATGTTAGGGTCAGGCCGGTGGGTGACTTGTGGAGCATAGAATCCTACACTCGCTTCAAGGTTTCTTCGAGGAGAGCCGGGCGTAGGCACCGGATTGAGTACTGCTGAGACGTTATCGAAGGATGTACACCAGAGCTTCTCTTCTACAGAGGTTTTTGGGTGTTGGCGGAGGTGGCTGCTTTCCATCCTGCTTCCACAATTATGTTTGCAGGTCATGACAACCACTTGCATGCCATTGCTCTCAGTGATTGCTGCAACTACCTGGTGCGGCTCTCACTCGAATGGCGCGGGTACCGGCAGAGAAGGGCCCAAAAAACTCTTGTCGTGCTCATGGATGTCGGGAAATGCCAGATTCACGGGGCACTGAGATTTTCGATTTATACGGTTTCGACGAGCTCCAAAGCGACAGCTGATCTCCACATGCCTTCGTATGATTTTTCGTGATTTTCTGGTGGCCTAGGCCTGCGCCTGTTCGGCAGGAAGAGTCCTCGTGTATCGGCGGAATTGCCCGCTCCAGCCTCAGGGTTTCCATGAGTGGTACTGGCAAGTCAGGCAAGTGACTAGAAAAGCAAAACGGAACGCCAGCTCTTCGCTCAGAAAGATGTTCGGATTTCTCTGAACAGGACTCGAGAAATTGAGTTGGCCGACGCGGATGATGTGGCGGATCTGAAGGAGGCAGCTGGCAGTTGAGCGAACGGCAATTGGTGAATTTCTCACATGTGTTGCTGCTTAAGCCGCCTTTGTCATGCTAGTCGCTGAAGCTTGGAGACCACGGCGAGTTTGTGGTGCAACGCCGCCGAACACTCAATTTTGCTGCCTTTGGCTGACCTTGCTGGTGAGGGGCCAAGTGTCCGCGAAGCCTAAGGCTTGGAACTTGCTGAGGGCGCTGTCGTCGTGGAGCCTCAGGCAAGGGCCTTGGGGCGATTGAGAGTCCAAGATCCGCGAACATCGCACAGCCCCCTGTCCTGACAGGACAGCACAAGCTGAGTCACAAAGATATGTGAAGTGCAGGACCAGCTCCTGCCGGAAGCTTCCCTGGAGGGATTCAAAAAGCGCTCAGACTTGGTGCGGCCCTGAGACCGTCTGCTGCACCTCGGGTACACTCGTGGTTGTGTAGAAGCGCGTTAGCCCATCATGCCCAAAACGCATGCCTTCAACGATTCCGTGCACACAAAGAGTGCCTTCATGTGCCTTCCTAGGATGCCGTTGAGCTGCCTGCTCGATTTCGCTTGCGGTTTGCTCGGGCCCCCAGCTGCTGGCACAGTGCTTGGGAATTCGGAAGCAAGGGGTTGCTGACTCTCAGGACGAGAAGTGTAACGAAGTGTAATGCGTTTAGCGTACTTGTGTTCACAGGTTGGCTGTCTGACCAGTGGATATCGGAAAGCTTGGCGCTCCTTGGAGCACGCAAGGGCCTTGGGACTTTCAGTCTCTCTGCTGGTGTCCCTTGTAGTGACTGGTACCGTATTGTAGTTCTTGCTTAGAGGAAAAAGTCCGGTCGACATGCGCGCTCTTTCTGTCATCCGCTGCGACTTATTAGGGTGGCGCTGTCCATTGCCTCGTCTTGGTGCGGGAAGGCTGACAGCTTGCTCTTGCAGCTTTTTTTTGAGGTGCTTGTGATTCTAGTACGCCAGGCTGCAAGGAGTACCTCTATTCAGGCTCACGTACCTCAGCTGCATTCTCGGGTCAAAAGCTATAAGGATGCGTGCCGAGGAGGGGGCTTTATCCAACCGTATTGCCCCAGGTGATCGCTTGGTCCGAAAGTGGCAGGAAGCTCAGATGCCGGCCAGGAAGTCCGGTTTTGGTGTCAGCGGTGTAAAGTTCCAGGCCAGGTTTAGGCCGGATTTTGGATCCTTCTGTGTTGATAGCGACTATGGTGCAAGTCGAACTCTGCCACTGCGGGAATGCCAGTTACGTGTCTGCGCTGATTTGATTCGGCCAAGGTGTGGACAATGAATTTGGTCCGAGTCAAATTCTTTGTAGGGCGATCAACCATACTGCGCGGATCGTCTGCTAACCTCTCACACGCTGCGTCTTCCGGTTTGTGGGAAAATCAGCGAGAAAAGTTACGTTTAGTAAAGAGTGGCTTTTCGCAGCTCGCAAGAAGTGGCTTTTCGCAAGAAGTTTTTTCCGCAAGATGTGGGCTTTTTCCAAAAGCCTGCGAGAGCAATGCTGCGCGACTGCTCGCACAACGAAGCGAGAAATTACACTTGTCGAAATAAGTTGTGTTTTCGATCGAAGTTGCTTGTTCAAGAAAAGTGGCTTTTCGAACTGGCTGCACGCACAACGCCGTCACTTGTGCAAGAAGTTGTTTCGAGAAAAGCGGCTTCTCGAACAGACTGTGTGTGCAGCGCCATGAGAGAAGTGACGTTTCGCAAGAAGTTGTTACAGTTGTTTTCCGAGAAAAAACAACTTGAACCCTCATCATTGCGGTTGCCAGGCTGACAACAGGCTCATGTCCTCGGCACGGTGCACTGTAACAACGAGAACAAGAGCGCGGAATAGGGTAGGACTTTTCAATGAGGAATTTGGCGGAGCTTAGCTTTTTCCACTCCGATACCAGGCGCTCACGTTCTTGAAGCGTAAAGGCATCTAAAGGCCAAACGCCTCTTCTAGCCCGAATGGTGGGTGCCAGCACTCTTGAGTGCTTGTCACCACCCACCTTCGAGTTGTCCAAGCTCTCTCAAATGGTATTCAAGCAGTGAAACATCCAGCCTGACGCGAAAGACTCAACAAGAAATGCGCCAGTGACCCATTAATCGAGCTTGAGATAGGTGCTCACAGTCGGGCTACTCGTGTCTCGGCCCATCCCTGGAATTCCGAAGTTGCTACAAAGGTCTTTGCTTGAGGGTGCGCTCGAGCTGACGCTCCATGGGCTGAAGACTCAGCTACGGTCACTGTAGAGCGCGCATGCTTACGGGCCCTCCGGCTGCAGAGAGGCACTCCTCCATGGTCCGTTGCCTGGCTGCCAACGAGCTGTACTTGGCCAGTGGTGCCTTTGCCTAATTAAAGTCTCGGACCGGTAGAGGGCAGAAGGGGGGACAGATCATTCCGAAATTGATGCCGGCTTCGTTCGTACCTGCGCTGTACAGACTGTACCTGGATGCAGGAGTGTTAAAGCAGCTCGTGAACCTCAATGCAGGCGGCGATGATCGCAGCATTTGCATTTGGCGACGGGATGCCTCTTGTCTCAAACGCTGTGCCTGAAGTAGGGTCTTTGTTTGATTGTGCTAGAATATGGAGTCTTGGTTCTAGGGGGTACATTGTATGCAGGGTACCCAAAGCAGCCCAAACTTAGAGAATTGAAGTTCTACATATTGTGTGTATGTTTTCCTAGAATTGCGGGACTGGTACAGAAGTCGCTCCTCCGCTTTCCTTTGTTCCTCTTCGTTTGCTCCGGCTGGCCGGCTCAGGAGATCACAAACACGCAGGTGAAGGACGAGCGTACATAGCAGTCCTCAAGTGAGACATCCGACGAACTTCGTCAGCCAGCCAGCAGCCTAAGTTTGTGTCTCTGAGTCTCAGGAGCTGGAGTGCAGCAGCCGAATCACAAGTCATACAGACTTTGCCGGGGCCCTAGATCGCGTCAGAGCCATGATGTGTAAGGGCAAGATGGGGTTTTGCATGGGCCAATGGGGGGGCTCAGCCACATAGACCTGAACCAGAAAGGCTTCAAAATTTAGGTTGAAAAAGTGAACCAAGCTGAGAGTGTGCTCGATGTCCATCATGGGGAGACGCGTGCATGGCACAGCTTCCTTCTCATGCCTCGCAGCCTCGGCAGATGAAGGACAAAATTGGCCATGGAAAGCAAGATGTGGAAAGTCTTAGATGCAGCCAAGTAGTGAAAGCAACTACTGGCTTGATGTGGCGGTTGCGATGCAAGGTTCGTGCAGTCGCACTTTGCAACAGTTTTCATGAGCGATTGCTGCCCAGCACCCGGCCTTTGCGTTTTGGCTACTTTCTTTTTTTCAACATCGAAATGCGAACGAAAGGTCTGCGGGCGATGACCAGCGGGTGATCCTGTGGAACGTTCACCGAAAAGAGAAGCTTCGTGAGCTTCAGCCTTATGACTTCTAATCACTTTTGATCCTGGGCACTAGTGGCACTAGTTCCAATTCCGAGGAAGCAGGTAGCTGCTTTTGCTGCCTTGAGCTCATGCAATAGTTGCTCGAGAGCTTGTTTGTGTCACCCGCACCGAGGTATCAGCACCCGTGTAATGTTGCCGCTGTGGTGCTGATGGGTTCAGCTCTGGCAACTGCTGGGGAGGAGCTTCGGTTGGGGACACCCGGTGAGACTTCATGACTTTGTGCCTTGACTTGGCTCACCGCCTGTGCAAGGATGGAAGACTGCGCATTTGGAACACTGCCCCATGGTGGCATTGTGGGGTCCGGCAACTGAAGGGTGGTTCAATCGGTTGAAGTGACACTGCGCAACTCCTCCAGCATCCGCCGAATTAGCAGCCATCGCCAAAGGATGTCGAAGGTTCGCTTGACAATCAGCTCGGTGCGGTTTAAAAGTAGCTGCAACAAGTGACGGAGCTTTCAGACATTGACTCTGCAAACCACTTGCTGCTGAAAAAATGCTCACTTCGGACGGTCGGAACGTGAATGAACGAAACCTCTTTCAACAGACAAAGTAGCAGACCTCAACTGATCTCATCAGGAGTCTGCAGAGCTGCAGCACAACTTGAAGCCGGGGCCTCGGGGGAGTGCTTTGGGGGGGAAGCGGCGCAAGAATAAGGGGAAATCCAAAACAGGCAGCGCTTGCATTATGAGACAACTCTGGGTACAAAGGCATCCGCAGCGCCTCACCAGCCTCTCCTCTATGCGGGTCTTCTGACCTTCGGGGGTCCATGCTGGCAATGTCCAGCTGCTATTGTTAATGCAAGCTCTGCCGTTCTTCTGATAGAAGATTGCAAGAGCCATCGCTTCCGACACGATGCCCAACAGAAAGGATGCGACAGGACATGTCCTCCGCGCCCCTCCGCACCCCTCCGCGCAACTCCGCACCCTCGCGCTCTCAGCTCCACCCCCCGTGCCCTCCTCACCCTTCGCCGCCAGCTCCGTTTCTCTTGAGTCCCTCCCCTGTGTGCTATACGTGCTCGAGTGTAGATGTTTTCTTGAAGCCCGCCTGTCCAACTCTGTTTCCCTTGAGTCTCTCCAGCCTAGCAGAGCTTTCGTTCCTTTGGCTCCTCCCCTCAAGTGTGGCGCACCTTCTGGGCTCAAATACGCTTTGCACACTTGCGACCTCATCTTAACCCCATACTACGCTACCGTCCAGACGAATCGAAGCATGTTACGGCCAGCCCACATTCTTGTCGGCGCAAGTCGCTCATTGGGACTGCTGTAGTGGCCGTTCTTGTGCCGCCTTCGGCCATGATCTCACGGTTGCTGTGTTGCTGCATGGGCACGGTCTTGGGCCTCTCCGGCTCCTCGCCCCCCAGCATCCCAGCGATCCCTCCACCGCCCAAGTACCAACCAGATGCACTCAATCTCTCAGATTTCAAGAGCGTGGATGAGTTTCTTGAGGGGCTCGGTCTCCCTGCCGCAGAGTGCAATCAGAGCTGCAACTGCAGCCGCAGCTGCGCCTGTGAGATTCGGACCTTCAACGAAGAACACATATTACACCGGGTACGCAGCATTGAGATCAAAGGATGCAATTTGACTGGGAAGGAGATACGCCCCGAATTGTTGCAGTTGGAGCACCTAGAACGCTTGGTACTGGCACAAAACCGGCTCAGTGGACCCATGCCGAGACATTTCCCAGGATGCAGAAAGTTGTCAAGCCTGGATCTGTCTGGAAACAGCTTGACGGGTGCCATTGTTCTGGAAAACTACCTGGACGGTCGGAGTCGGATGAGGCAACTTGTGCTCTCCAACAATTTGCTCAATGGACCCATCCCTGCGATCAAGACGGTGGATTGTGAACTTCGAGAACTGCGCCTTGCAGGCAACCGCCTCTCAGGTGCCATCCCGCCACAGCTCCTGAACATGAAGAATCTGAAGATCTTGTCCTTGGCTGGCAACAAGCTCAACGGAAGCATCCCCGAAGTCTGGCAAGAAAGTCCGATGGAGCAGCTTTTCCTGGAAGAAAACGAGCTTCAAGGCGAGATCCCGGACAGCATTGCAAACATGAACAGCTTGGCGATTCTGAGACTCGAAATCAACTTTCTTGAAGGCAAGATCCCCGAGTCTTTGGGACAGTTGAGGGCTTTGGAGCAGCTCCGTCTCAATCACAATCGGCTTCATGGAGTTCCATGGCTCGGTCAGCTTGACCACCTCTCCGTGCTGCAGCTCAATGACTTGCCTTTAAAGTCACACATTCCGGGAGAGCTGGGCAATCTTACTCGTTTGGAGTTCCTGGATTTGTCAAACAGTGGCCTCCATGGATCCATAAAACATTTGGCGACCCTGACGGGGCTTCGTAGCCTTCGCTTGATGAAAAATGATTTGGGCGGAGAGCTGCCGGACTTCGCCGCCCCAAATCTGACGACGGTCCTTTTGGACAGGAATCATTTTTCCGGAGATGTGCATCGGGCATTCTGTCAAGCGCCACAGCTTTTGACTTTGAGCCTTCACCACAATCAACTCAGTGGACCGCTCCCGGAGTGCTTGGGGGACTTGGCGAACCTCGAGCAGCTCTTCCTGCATCACAATATATTCGTCGGTGAGGTTCCTGAAGGCCTTGCCGACTTGCAGAATTTGACCGTGATAACGCTTCACAGCAACCATTTCCGTGGCCGGCTCCCCAAATTGAAGCGCTCGTCCGTCGCAACCTTCCATAGCAACGACTTTTCAGGGTCTATCCCAGAGTTTGATTTTAAGCATTCTTGCAGCAATAGCCCCTGGTTCAGCCTGCACGGTGCAGACTGCGAAATTCTGGAAAAAGTCATGGTTCGTGAGAAGATTGTCGGTTGCAATGAGTTGCAGTCCATTCACAAGATGAATATCTCAGAGCTGCTGCAGCAGTGCCCCGAGACCTGTGGAACTTGCAGCGAATACCAGCTGAAGGCCAAGTTGACACTCCACGGGAACAGGCTGTCTGGGCCTATCCCACCGTCCGTCAACAGCTCGGAGATACAGGCTACCGCACTCATGGGCAACACGCTTGGTGATGGTGAAGCACTGAACGCTGATTGGCTCTCGCTGGAGGATGCTCACTCGAGAGTTTCGTGATGATAGGCGGTAGGTTGTGTTATGTCAGAACAGGCGAGCTCCAGCATGATGTCACGTTGCACGTATTGCGAAACTGCGGTCGCTGTGCACGATGACCTTTGCCCAGCCCAGGAGCAGCAGGATTTCCTCTACTTTTCGCCGGAGGCCAGAGTGCTGGATGTGCGTATGGCCAAAATCTTGTGCTTTCTGATGCTTCTCTTTGTGCTTCCTCCCTGGCGAACACGACTGACGAAAGCCACGGCAGCAGTCGCAAAGCCACCCGTCCTCAAGACCCTCACCCAGTCGCATGTTCAGGTGATGTTTGTCGTAGCCTGCTGCTTGGTGGGATGTCTCATTTCCTCTCCAGTGTATTATCTATTCTCGGGCAACTATTTTCAGGCAGATGGTGGTCAGCTGCTACTCAGAATGACGGCTTCCTACTTTGCAGGTTCTGAGGACAAAGGCATCAAGGTTTGCGAGGTGTTCATGGTAACCTCCTGGTGCACCTTTGACGTCTTCATTCGGGTGATCGCTCTCCGTCGCTTCAAGCCCGCAAAGCAAGGCAGCTCCTGGAAACAAGAAACAGTGCAAGCTTTGATCTGTGTTTGATCTCGTGTGAAAGTACCTTGAAGCAATCTCGAAGCCACTGGCTGTGGAAATGAGCAAGCTGAGGGCCAAGTTTTGTCGACGAGAGGTGCACGAGATATTTCCTATGGCTGCTGTGGTTCCTGGTGGTCTTAGTCATCTCGATGCCCCAGATTCTCTTCGCAATGGCCGAGGTTCGTGGCATGCAACACCGAATTAGCTTGCAAGAGAGTGGAGGTGACATGACATGGTTGCACAATTGAACCGTGGAAGTGACCGATGATGTGGCATGAACGTGCATGCATGAACTAGTAGCTTCTGTGAGGCCGTGCCAAAAGGATCAAAGTATCAGTGGCTGCTGGAGATTTTTCACCGCGGGGCTGGCGTCGTTGGTCCGTTTGTTGACCTCTTTCTTGCAAGCCCTCTGAGCATATGGTTTTCTGTAAAGGCATCGCAGTGGCTTTCCAAACCCATCCCAGCACACAATTTGTTGATGGCGCTGCAGCTTTGCTCGCAGTGGATGTTGCCTATGGTGGCCACGGTTCTTCTACATGAGAATTGCGTCGGTGGCTGGAAGATCTTTTGGGGTGTGTGCCCCCTCGGTGGCGACATGGGCGGCTTCGATTGGAAGGTCTTCGACATGGAGATTCTTACCACAGAAGAGATCTGCAAAAACAAAGTGCAACGCTTGTGGGAAGGGCGCTGCAGCCGTGCTGTGATCCAGGACTTGTCCCCCCTACTTTTGCAGAAGCTACTGGTGAAAGCTGCAGTTCCAGCTGGTCTTTGGTTTGCATGGTGCTCCTTGCTCTATTGTGGCCTTTGGTATCAGGATGGAAAGCTTCACCCTCTTGCTAGGCTTTTGACAGGGTCAATGAAGTCAATGGGACAACATGCAGGTCTCATGACCTGGCTGGAGCAAGCTATCGTTTGGTCCCCCTTCGCTCCCTTCTTGAGTGTGGCCATTTTGGCAGGTGTTGCGCATAACTTCATGCTCGTAGACTTCGCCTGGAGCAGAAATGTGCCTTTTGAGGCTCAGGCCATGGAGAGAGAAGGCGAGGAACGCCAAGAGTGCCACGAGCAGCAAGATCCGAATTCCACTGCATCGTTATCCCGATTCACCTTGCGGTGGGTCTTGGCCGTCGCGTGGGCCTTCCAAGTGTGGCATGCCTACGGCAATGGAATGGATGGAGCTCACCTGCTCATCTTGGCGGGAGGGCTCATTTTCTGTCCAGATAGTATGCTCAAAGTCTTTATTCCTGCTGCGCTGCCAAGCCTGGTCAAGCCGAGCAGCGTCGAGGTCGAGTTGCAGGAGCGAAATTCGGACTCCAGGTCCTCAGCAGGCTGATGCATCATCCTGGCTTGCGGAAGTTGCCTGAAGTTGCGGCCAGCGTAGCCAAGGTGCGGAGAGCGCGAAGCTTGCGGGGGGCGAGCGCAGGGAAAGTGTCAAGAATTATTCAAGATTGGCTCATAGTGGCACCATGCGAAGGTTGACGGCCGCCTGCGCCATTTGGACAGTCTCGACTTCAACTATTGAAAAAATGTGCTGCGTGGCGATGCATCTCCTGACTCAGGAAAATGGTAGCTGCTAGGACTTCCTGGGGTCGTTAGACTGAAGATGATACATGTAGCATCATGTAGCACCACTGCCCTCACCACATTCTTCTCGGCTCACAGATGGCATAGTGTCATACAGTGTCCATGACGTTTGATATTCCATCCGTGGTTTCGCTCGCCAGGGTCGTCGTCTTGGCGCATCTCCAGGCCTCCTTGTCTTTGCGGCCGGAGGTGGTTTCTCATTATCAGACAGAACTCGAGCCGGTGTACGTTGTGGAGGAGAAGCACTTTGAAGCTTGGCAGTGGAAGGACGCAGAGTGTTCATCGGCTTACGAGTCATTCTGTGATGCAGTTGTCACGAAAGATCAGTGCAAAGAGATGGCTGTTGTCGCAGGCAACGGAAAGCCTTTCGGACAATATTATGTTACCGCCAATGAAGGTAAGAAGGGCAAGTGTTACGTTTCTCACGCTAACATCTTCTTCGATGGTGGTACGAAACAATGGGTCCCAGCTATTGGCCAGCTTTGCCGGTGCTCTGGGTTGCACCTGCTCTACTCCCCACAGGATTTGGGGCCTTGTGCAACGACTGTCAACTCTCACGGAATCTGGAAGAATCCAAACAAAGAAGAATGCGAGTTTTACAACTATGGGTACTACTACGACGACGACAAGAAGATGTGCCTGCGCGCAGAGGAGCCTTGGCGGATGTAGATGTAGATATCCGTCATCTGACACAGGAGGAGTCTTGAACCGTCAATTCCCGAAAGGTTGCAGCTGTAGGATGCACAATGACAGTCCTTCTATGAGCCTTTGGTCATCCACTCCCCTGAAACAGGTACCGCAAATAGGTGGCCTTTGAGGAGGTACGCATTCCCAAAGTCACTCCCCATGTCGCTCCCTGTTGGGACGCTCCCGAGTGTTTCGAGTGATAATGGAATGAACTCGCAGCGATTTGTGGCGATTTCCGAATCTGCTAGGAGGCACCGTCCGGTGATTGGGTGTTGGAGGTGCACATTCGTCTGAGTTTGGGATGCACGTTCGTGTGACGGCTGTTCGGGGTGCAAGTTCGCGTGCCAGGCTTTTTGGGGCGCACGTAATTACGTGTGATGAGGCGTTTGGGACGTACGTTCGGCTGATGGGGCGCACACCCGTGTGACGGGGCGTTTGGGATGACACTCGCGTGACGGGGTGATATCGGGTGTTGGGGGTGCACACTCATGCACATGACGGTGCGCTTTCCTGTGACAGGGTGTTTAGGGTGCACTCTCGCGTAACGGGGTGTTTGGGGTGCATACGTTCTCGTGAACACAAAGAATCAACCCACTTTGGCGTTGACATGCCGGTATCTTTATCTTTGATGCAAAGCTTCCAGGCAACGGCTCGAGAGTGACATGCGCGAAGGAAGGGTTGATAGAGGTGGATTCAAAAGTGAAATGTCAGAAGGTTTAAACCAGGAACGCGAAGATGTTAAGATGAAGATCATGAAAAGATGTGTGCGAATGTCGATGGAAGTCAAGCACCTGAATGCTCATTCAGCAGCTTACCGGTTCCTATGAAAAGGCCCATGCGTGTCACGAAATCTGTTCCTGAGTCCTGTTGTGCCCCGTGCCCATGACGAGATCCTGCACAAGGGTTGCCAGCGCAACCTCCAAAAATGCGTTTCGCAGAGGCTTCGTGCACTCGAGGGTCACAATCTTGCGAGAGGGTCGCAAGTCGTGGCGTCGCCGCCGCACTGCTGCGCCTGAAACAAGGAAAAGAATGAGAGATGTGTATTACATGTGAGACTGGAACAGATAAGCTAGAGCTCGCGATGCGCTGGTGTGCAGATGTGCATACAAATGCAGAAAATACAAGAGATGCCATGCGCATTTTTTCGATGCCCTTCCCTCAGGCTCTCACAAAGTAGAACTGCTGAAAGCACAGCTAACAAGCTGGCCACAACAGTTCGAACAAATTTCCCGCTCTTGTCATCGCTCCACGCACGGTTTGAAACCTCTCAGTGTCGTGTCAAGCTCACATTAACATCGTTGTGGTCTCACGAGAGGTTTCCATATGCAAACATTGCCAAGTGTGTCGGCGGAAAGGCGAAATAATTGCTTTCAATCTTTTTTCTCAACAACCCTGAGCCTTTTTTTCCTGACTCACTCTTTAGACCATCTCGAAATTGCCCTAAAATCATTCCGACAGTTCTGGGCACCCATTTCAGTGGTTAGCTCTCATGCTAGTCCTCTACACCATTCATGCTGACTTCCAACCACTCTTTGCAGGTTGTTCTAATGGGACTATCAGTGGGAGTATCAGTGAATCAGTGGGATATCGATCTCTTTCGACTTCACCTCGCAGATGCTGCAACAGCACATGCGGAGTGCGGCAACGTGATTGCCCGAACGCAACAAATCTGAAGCCCTTGCACGTGCACGCGGGCCGCGCATGCCCGCTCGACACGGGTCTTGCAGCCCGCAGCTGACTTGGAAGCTTTTGCGATTTCTTTGCTGTAATGAACCAGCTAAGAACCGCGGAATTGGTACCCCTCGAGTAGCCGACAGGTGGCGGGACCAGGACATGTTGGGCCTCGTTACAGGCCCGGACACCCGCCCTCCCCACCCCCCCACCCTGCGGGTAGAGGGGTCACCTGTGACTTCTATCGGGTGTCACCTGTGACTTCTGTGCCGGGGTCGCTTGTGACTTCTCTGTCTCTGCCCTTACAAAATGCTGCAGTGTCGTCACTTTTGGATTTGGTTACCTTGGCGACCCTCCCTCGCTCTCCTCTCGCTTCTCCTCCCTCTTCCACCTCCTCCCCTCCAAAGCAGAGGGAAAACCCTCACACAAACAATCAAACAATCCATCAAAATTAAAACATCAAGTTAAAAAATAAGGGTTGTAGAGGACGGACTAAAAACTCCGGGAATGGGCCAAAGATGGTTTAGGGTAAGGGGGTTTAGGCCCTTACCGTGTTCAGGGCCTTCTTGCACCCTTGTAGTTAAAGGAGGGGGGGGGGTGTAGGACTTCGAGGTGCTCATTCCCATTTAGTCTGGAGGCTATTCGCAGCTGCGCCCGATTCATACTTCAGCCCATGAAATGAAGCCCCCCCTGCCCTAAACCCAAAACCCTAAACCCCTAAACCCTAAACCCCAAACCCTAAGCCCTAAACCCTAAACCCGAAACCCTAACCCTAAACCTTAAAGGTTACCCTAAACCCTCAAGCCTAAACCCTAAACCCTAACCCTAAACCCCAAACCCTAAACCCTAAACCCTAAAGCCGTAAACCCTAAACCGTGAACCCTAAACCCTCAACCCTGAGGCTAGACCCCAATCCCATGACCGTCTGAACCCTAAGCCCAAACTGCGAAAACCCTAAACCCTAAACCCTAAGCCCGAAGCCCGAAACCCGAAACCCTAAACCCTAAACCCGAAACCCTAAACCCTAAACCCTAAACCTAACCCTCAACCCTAAACCCTAGAGGTCACCCTAGATCCTCACCCCTCAACCCTAAACCCTAAATCCTAGAGGTCAGCTAAGCGGGTGGCAAAAAAATCCTAAACCCCAGACCCTGAACCCTAAAGCCAAAACCCTAAACTTTAAACCCTAAAACCGTAAACCCGAAACTGTGAACCCTAAACCCTGAACCCTGAGGCTAGACACCAATCCTATGACCGTCTGAACCCTGAGCCCAAACCGCGAACCCGTGCGAGAAAGTCCAAGATGCAAGGTTGAAACCCGATCCCAAGGCAGAGAAGTCACAAGTGATTTCAAGCATTTTTGCTAAGAGGTGTTGCAAATTCGCTGGCTAGAGAAGTCACAGGTGACACCCGAGAGAAGTCACAAGCGAGTCGCCTCCCGAGAAATCACAAGTGACACCCGACAGAAGTCAGAAGTGACCCGCCTATCCGCGGCGCCTACCCCCCCCCCCCCCACCAACTGGTCCGTGGGACTGTGCACCTGGCTCCTTGCCCCAACCCCCCTCACCTGAACGCAACGCAAAGCTTTACACTCCTTTTGAAAGACGCGGGTGACCCGCCGGAGGCGGGCTAGCCGACAGGGGTGCGGGAGCCCACCGTGCATCAGCCCAACCCTGGCTTTTTAGCCTTAAGGCCTCAAGCCTAAACAGGTTGCATCCAGGTGCCGACTCGAGAGACACATCTGTGTCTCGCAATCTCCAGTAGGCACACGCAGGCCCCAGGCCCGCAGCGTTAAATTTATAAGGTGACTCTGCGGCGGAAAATCTCCGTCATGAGAACGTGCACCCAAAGATCCCCAAAGCACGTTCCTCCATCGGAAGAGTTGTCCCCCCCCCCCCTTCCACCCCCCCCTTCCCCCCCCCCCCACCGAATAATTACCCATCTCCTGGGAGTAGCCGTTCGGGAGTGATTGGGAGCGATCCAAGCTTGGGAGTGCCTTTTTTGTTTTTCTGGTGCGATGTTGGAAGACTTGCGAGCCAAGAAGACTTTTTTCTGTAAATGTTTGCCTAGAACATTGTTGCAGATTTTTTCTGATGGATTACGCTTTCTTTGCGCGGCAAGAAACATTATGGGCGGAGAAGCTAATCGCCAGGGTGTTCCAGAATTCCGGATGGATTACGAAAACAAACCTGACATTTTGTGTCACCGAATTATGCACAAGGACGATGTTAATGATTCTTAACTTAAGTGTATCGCTCCAATTTGTATGTTGTGCTTGTTGGTTGTTTCCAAGATCCACAGTTTTGAAGAAAGCATGTGTCTCCAGGAAAAAGCGAAAAAGAAGCAGGCATTTTCAAAATTATTGCTTGTTTCACTCCCACGCGGAGAAAGATGACGGACGGCTCATGCCCAGATTTGCTCCAAAAGTTGCTCACACCAACATCATTCGCCGACAAATTCCAAGCCTCGCCTCGTAGATGACATGCCGCTCGACATCCACACGATGTCATTCCCTCACATGCTTCATGCCTAAGCTGTGGTGCCCAGCCCAACTGCTAACCGGTAGCTAAGCATTAAGCTCATGCTTTAGGGCAATGCTGCTGAAGCTCAAGCGACTGCAAGCAGGCGCCCAGCATGCACTAAGGATACGAGCAAGAACTTCTGTATCCTCTTGAGAGGGAAGGTTGGACAGATGCTGAAAGATGCTTTGCAGGAGAAGGATGTCAACCGATTGTGCGAGGTGGCCAACAACGCGCTCAGTTACGGGGGCAGTTCTTTGATGGGCGTGGAGCTGTATTGCGAGATGTTCAGTCGATACCTTAAAGATTACGCCTCCGTCTTTGGCGACAGACGAGATGAGGCCCTATTTGGCGGTTGTGAAGTACGTGGCTCGAAATGCGTGTACAGGGAGAGGACCTCCAAGGAGCCAGACTTCGCACCGCGGTTCAATCAGAATACTCTCTACTAGTGATGCTTGTGCGTTCTCGGCGAAAATCGGCTCTGTGCGTCGCGGGCCCTTTCACCCCTGCTCGAAGTTTCTTGTATGTTCTGGGCTTAAAAATGCTTTGCACACTTGCGACCTCGTGGCCGCAACTGCGCTTGTGAGATTCGTACCTTCAACGAAGAACACAGATTGCACCGGGTATGCAGCAGTGAGATCACAGGATGCAATTTCACTGGAAAGGAGAGACGCTCCGAACTGTTGCAGTTGGAGCACTCAGTACGCCTGGTACTGGAACAAAATTGGCTCTGTGGACCCATTCCAAAACATCTCCCCGGATGCAGAAAATTGTCAAGCCTGAATTGCCACCCCTTACAGGAATAAGGTTTCGGCTTCAGCTTACAGCGCCTGCCTTGCTCAGGTGGAGTCGTGCTCTGCTTTCACAAGCGTTAAGTTCTTCTACACCACAATCTTCGATAGATTCCTCCTGAATGCAAAAGTTGTAGCACTGCTGCATGATCGCCTCAAAACGGGCAGCTGGAGCTTTGCGCTTTCGAAAGATGAAAATATGCAGGGACACATGTCAGTCAGCGAGATGACCTCGAGTTCCCATACTGTAAGAAGCATGTTGATCAAGGCACGTCCATAAATCGAGATAGCACCGAGCAGTGCAGTATCCAGAAGGATTCTTTGATGCAAGCACTTGCGGCGAACTTGTCGAAGAGATTACTCGTACGATGAGGCAGGGGGGGGGGGGGGGGGAGGGGCATCTGCTGTGATATTGCAAATCTAGTGCGGCTCTGCGTCTTGGTGAGGGCACTGGCACCGTCGCCGCGGTCGTTGCAGGGGCGAGTGGGCCGCTTGTGCGCCGTGCCCTGAGCTACGTGGCAAATGACGTGTTCCAGCGTTGCGCTTCTGCAACAGGGGCAAGTCGAATTGTGCGTTAGACTTGGTGAGTCTAAGGTATGTGTCCTTGCAGCTGCAGTGGCCGTAGCCTCAGCCTGGCAGAGTGAGCAGGAAAACATGCATAAATGCTTTTCCGGGTGCACCGGCTGCAGCCATCACTAGGAGTTGAGTCAAGTAAATAGTTGGTTGGTTGAATGAAGAGACCCGCACGTGAGTTTTTTGCCTTCGTCTGGTCAGGCATCAAGAATGGCTTGCCATGCTTGCGCTGCTGCTAGAGGCTGCGCCTTCACAGGCAGCTTGCCCGTACATGCTCGTGCCACTGCATCCGCAGCGGACTCTAGTGAGCCCTTAAAGTACCTGTTTTCCCGGGCGGCAGCGGCTCGGCTGGTCGTTTCGGCTTGCGGCTTGTGCAAAGCACAGATGCACAAACGCATGGCATGACAGAAAGAAGTTCCATCCTGACTTGCGTTCGCTTCACGAAGTCTCGCCCCTAGTGTGAAAGTATTCAAAAGATGGCCCTGGCTGAGCCGCTTTGACGGGAGCAATGACAATACTCGGAGTCACTTGGCTCATACTGGTAAGGCTCATGCAGGCTGCGTCTTGCCGCAGCTGCGCTGGCAGTCATCAACAGGTGGAGAGCATGGCCCCCAATCCTTCAAGAAACCGAAGGTGGGGCAGTTCGTTGATGCGGGCCTGATGGAGGGCCTTGCCGCATTGCTGACGGCACCCCGAGGAGAAGCAGCTTTGGTTCTCAGGCTCCTTGTGGTCTGCCGGAACAAAAAGAAGCCCTGTGCTGTTGGAAGACTCCCCTTGTTTGATGCAGCTACTTGTGCTCGTGTTGACAGTAGCCCTGAGTCATTTCCACGAGATGCTTGTTGTGCAGAGGGCGGCCTTGGCAGCGGGTGCAGTCGCCTGCCGCGTGGTTGCAAAGGAGTTGAAATACGTGGACCTTTCGCTGTGCACCACAATGGAGCACAGCATGATACTCCAAAACGAATGTGCATGGGCAGAGACTGCTCCATTCATTTTGCCTTCAACGCCGGTGGCTTGCCGGTGGCTTGTAGCTACGTACACTTTCACAGCGCTGTGTCGAGTGTCCAAGCAACGTGCCAGGTGCTGCCCGTGCTGTGGAGGTGGGCCTGGAATGGGCATGGCAACAGGCACAGCTGCAACTCTCAAATTTCGCACTGCTGCTGTGTCCCGCCCTCTGAAGTGCCCATGCAGCTGAATTAAGCGAGGAAAGGGAGTGGCCTGGGAATCCGGAAAGAAGCAACGTTTGTGTCAGGTTTTTTTGCATAAAAGCCCCCGGCACAGCAGATGGTCCGCGACAGCCAAGTACCGTGAAGCAAAGCTGCGTGGTTAGCCCATCGTCCCAAGCAGCGGACACAACATTCGGTTGAACCCGCGCCCGAGGCCTAGGTGGGCTCAACTTGGGTACAGTAGTGAGGAAACGGTCGCGAAAGTTGTGCAAAGATCCCGCAAGTGGCCGCACGCAGATGAAAGCGATTTCACGTCGCATGCCCCCATGGACTAGGATAATCAGCATGGTTTGTGTACCTGTGTGTAGGACATATGATACGGGTCCACTATGAGGATTTGTTTGGCCAGAAGCTGCAAGAGTCCCAGAGTCCGGCAGGCGGTGGTCAGCATCGAGCTGGGGAGTTCGGATGAGGCCTTTGCCGGGAGCCCCACATTTTCTTACCTCCAATGATTCCAGCAGTTTCGGCTGTGGGCTTTACCTGGGGTGGCGGTTCAAAAAAGGCTTTCATGGAGGTTGCCGTGTCGTTGAGTACTTTTGGCCGCGCCATCTGTCCAAATACGGTGCTGCCTCAGTGGCCGCCATGTAGCTCTCCCCTCCCTAGCCTCCATCTGACCTGACTGCGCAAGATTCCTATGGCATCCGCTGGAGCATCTCTGAGGAGTGGCTGCTGGAGCTCCTGCAGGCTCATCCATCAGTTCAACAGCTTCAAAAGTGCCGAGAACTCGCAGCCTTTGTCTTCAAGATGCGTGTTTCTCAAACTTGGAACCCCTTGAATACAACTGTTATTCTGGGAACCCTCAAAGAAGGTACCTTTTGAACGGACAAGCTGTCGGGACTGCCAGTGAGCTGGTCATAATGATGCACGTTGTCTTTTGGATTCGTGTCCCTTTTAAAGTTCTTCCTTGCTGGATGCCTTTCTTCCACCTTGTCTCGGCTCTCGCATTCTATGTAAGCAGACAAGAAGTGTCATAGCGCACCAGGCCATAGGCAATTCTTCGTCAAGTGCCAGGCAGAACCTCAATGAGCCTCTGCCAGGCAGAGACGTCCTTTGGGAAAGCTGGTCATGCCCCTCGGGCAAAAGAGGCTGTGAGGTGGAGATTCATGGTTGGTTATAACTGCAGACGTAGAGTAGGGTACTAGAGTGAGAATACGGATGACAATCGAAGTGAGGTTTGTGACATGTTAGAGCAGCCCCGACGGAGGTCGTAGCAACAACTGGGCAGGCCTGGCACAAATTGGAGAGAGTCGCCCCTCTGCCTCTTTTAGGACCTAGTACGCAGACGGGGACTAAGAATGTCGTCGAGGTTGGACAAAGCCTTACTTTTACTTGTTCCATAGTTTCTTTAATAAATATGTTGTAGCTGTTATTTGCGTAACGCCGGTAGCATTGAACATGCCACTGTATGGTGCCGTGCACAGTCACAGCCCAGCAATGCGGGGTGGGGGAGGCCACGAAGTCGGACCAGCCTACACCGGATGGCGCGCCCTTGGTGAGCTTTCGCGTGGCTGCTGCCCGGTTGCAGGGCCCCAAAAAATCCTTCTAGAACTCACCTGAGAACCTGAAGCCTACACCACCGAAGGATCTGCGAAGGATCTGCAGGCTCCCCACTTTTCAGCTAAGGCTCGAAGGCGGAACTTTCCTCATCTTCTCTGGCTCTCATGGTGGGCGCTGTGGGCACAATTTGCAGGTTCGGAACACGAATGTTCTGAAGCTCTGACGCGGCTTGCGTCAGGTGGCGGCCAATTGCAGTCCAGTTTGCCACAGAAGATGGTGCCGGTACCGCATCGCAGCGGGCGGGAGCCAGGAAATCGGAGACTCTACGTCCGCATCCCAGCAGCGAAATGAGAGAATTTCCAATTGGGATGCAAGCAGACTGAGAGCATCTTAGAGCCGTTGAGCCGAACTGCTCGTTTTAACCTGTAAGCAGCACAAGTCACAAGCTGCTGTGTTGCGTTGCGCGTCTGTGCAGTACGGGAACATGTCTTGCATGGTGTAGCCAGGTGTGTAGCCTGACCTTGAATCAAGAGAGCCTAAACCCCCAACCCCTAAACCCGAAACCCTAAACCCTAAACAACAGAGCTCCAGGACTGGAGGCATTGCGGCTTCTGGGCGGCCTAGAACTGTTGAAGGACTTCCTGGAAAGCGCCCCTGTGACGGCCAGTTTTGGTATCGTTTTGTACTCTGTCCTCTATCGTCCTATGGTCTTATGGGAGCAGTTTCCTAAGCAGCTAGAAGCCAACTTCTAAGGCACGGCAGCGGCACATCAAAACGACGCAGCACTGCACGAGCATCCTAACCGCTGCGTGCGACTTCCGGCCGCAAGAACACGCAGGCATGATGTGCACACGTGGCACTTCGACAGGCCACGTCATGTCCCTCCGAAGATGGGCATTTATGCCGCATTTATGCCTGTTGTAATACTGTCATGACGTTCATCAGGCGTGTCATTGAAATCATCTTGGTCTGAAGGAGTTTGGGTCCTGGAATGCTGCCGTCGAGCGACCCTTGCCTGGCACATGATGTCATTTTGCGCGTGCTGACCAATCCCAGAAATGTGCCCCGAGGGGTGGGCCCTCAATTGATTAAAATTCTGTGGGCGTGTTCGGTCTGCCATCGCTCAACATTCTGGATGTTGAGTTGAGGCGTGATACCATGGCTAAGGCAAAGCCCGGCGACTGAACTCCGTCATCCATGACAAGGCACATGAGGCCAGCTCATGATCGCTTTGGACAATAGAAGGACCGCCCTGCTTAGTCATCAGCACAGGCCACCGGCAGCAGGGTTTTCGATAGGAGTGCCGTCAGGTCTTCGAGGATTGCCGCGAGTTCATGAGGCACACCTCTCACTTTGGATCGATGTAAACGACCCATGTAGTAGTGGTAATAGTATGGGCTACGTACGGTATGAATTCGATCCTTCTGAACAGCAGTGATAAGCACTCTTTATAGCAGTAGACACGACTTCCTGGAATCCTTGCCTCATGCCGAAGGCCTGAGACGGAAGCTTGGTACGCGGCGCGCGGCATCCCGTACCGTCGAGGCTCAACTTTTGCAGCGTCAGGTGACCCACTTCTCCACGTCAGGTTCCGTTCATTGGCAAAAAAGACGATACTAAAAGATTTTGTTAGCAGTCCTTCGTTCAATCATGGAAGAGCCATGTACTTGTTTCAGTTCGGAGAAGAATTCGTAGACGCATGACCAAGGTTGAGTCTTGCTAAAGACTGTTTTGAGCCAGGATACCTGTTCCACGGAGTTCCTGGCACAGGGTGCGGCCCTGAGTTCTCGAGAGACTTCTCTTCGATTTCTTCAAGCTTATGAAGAGTCCTTGGGGTTGAGGGTTTAGGGTTTAGGGTTCAGGGTTCAGGGTTTAGGGTTTAGGGTTAAGAATTTAGGAAAGGGTAGTAAATAAAAGCGGCCCAGGGCCCGGCAGATGCAGGTTTCTTGTATGCTCTGCTCTCAAGCTAAGGAAGAGCAGCCTGGTCTTTGCCCTGGCTGGGGAGCTGCATGCGCGCAGCTTCTCGCAAAGGGGGCAACCGTCGGGGGTATTTTGTTGTATGAAAATTTCAAAGTGCATATGCACATACGTATTATGTGACACGTTTCAAACTTACAATAAGAAGAGTTCCCAAAGATGTATATTAATGTCGTGGTAGGCAGGGATGTTCGATATTTATTACCCATGGAATTTGGAAAGGCCTAACATGCTTTTTTTGGATGCATAGGTATCTACTGCGTGCCTCTCTCCTCGGCAAAGCTCGAAGATGAAGGCTTGTGCCCGGCTTGCAGCTCAAGTACGGAGTTTCGGGTTATTGCCGAAGCGACAGTCAAAGATGGGTGCAAGTGTTGCACCCTGCTCTCAGGCGAGATCTGCTTGCATCCACAACTCCGAGGCCGGAACTCATCACCCAGAGTAGCACTTTGCCGTGTTTGCCTTGCATGTGGCTCCAGGTCCTTTCTTCTTCTTGAGGATGTGGATGCCCCTGGCCGGCAGTTGACATAGAAATTGGATCGTACTTCCTGTGGAGTCTTCGCGTAAAGATCATCATTCAGATTCCGAGATGTTGAGGGAAGGTTTAGCACGGCCGTCGAGGCTTGCGGTGCGTCGCTACGCCGGGAAAGCGTGGCAGGCCTCACGGTCAATTATTTGCAGATGTTGGGGCCTGGCGAGTGCTTCCCATGGTACACAGTCCATAGTGGCCTGTTATAATTACTGTATGTAAGACCTATGAACTCTCAAGTAGGCACGCTCCAAAGATGAAGGAACGACTGAATGTCGTGACCCTCCAGCCTCCAGCTCGCCGCTAGCTGGCCGACGTCTAGATCTGCCCCCCATTTGCAGGTGAGGTAACCGAAAAAGAGGAGCACCTCGAGGCCGTCCTGGGTGTTTATTTGTTGATATTTGTTGCTTTTTGAAGCTGTTGTTGTGGTGTCACTGCGCTAGACCGCCTCATCAAGTGGTCCAACATTGGCGGGCCTGCTCAATGCGCTGGATGGCAGCATGGCATTACTGTGCTTGTGGAGAACATTCTTGCTGAGTCTGAGCCCGGATCTTTCACTCGTCGCATCCAGCCGGGTTTGCGTCTGAGGTGTGACGGCGCAGGAAGGCATGGCGGGGCAGTGCTTGTTTTCCTAGCATCTGTGCTTGTTCTCCTGATACGTATGCTGAATACTCGGGGCCGCCTTCTAGCCTGGACGAAGGGGGCGAGTCTCCCACCTTGTGCAGGAAGACTGCTGTTCATGACAACCAACCGCCCCTCGGAACCGAAGTGTGGAGCATATTCTGCCCCATTGCCCACATGATCATTGCTGGCATTCTAGATTCTAGACGAAGTGGCTGAGGCATCGGCATGCTAGATGCAGCACTCATCCGGCCGGGGCGAGTAGACGTGACTGGACAGCTGATAAAGTGGTTGGATGCAAGTGATTTCTTCCTAGGTAGGATAAGGGGGGCCCTTCAAAGGGTACCCCTTCTGAATCCTCTTCTGGCTCCCTTAAACAGGGACCTTATTCAGAGGGTCTATATCCCCAAGGGTCCCCCTAATCCTATCCCCTATTTCTGAGATCATGCTCCTAGATCCATATTGGGGTCTTATAGGGCTTCGGAACATGATATTGATTTAGGCCGGTTGAGTGGTTCGGGTCTGTCATTCGCGAAACACTCATCCCCGAGTGATATCGAGTAGACGTCAACCCTCGAAGCTTCAACCTTGTAAACCCTACAGCCCCAATCAGTGCGATTTGACTTACCACCACGTTCCCTATAAACCCCCCCCAAAAAAGAAGCCCTAAGCAACGTTGGCCCTTTGGCGATGCGGATTCGCTTCAACTGTTCAGGAGGGAAAAACCCATCGTTGCACAGGTGCGCTTGGAGTTTGGCTACGCTTCAAGGGAGGAGCTGCGGGCGTTTGTCCAGTCGCCCGCGATGCAGTTGGATGTAATCGTGGAAATGGTATGCGCTTGTCAATAATGATGCATTCCTTTGTCGACAAGATTGGGGGGGGGGGGGGACGCAGCTTGTCAGCCGCCATCGCCTGGCTGACATTTGCATCGTGGATATCAGCCGTATCGTGTGCGAGGTAAACGCTGTCGGCTGGGGGTTTCGGGCTGATGTTCATGCCTGAACGAGGCACTTCTTCGGCACCTCGCTGAGCACGGCCGAGGGATTGACACCTGGCCAGAAGTGAAAGCAGTTTCTGCCAGACAGGATCGTTGGAGTGTGTTGAAGAGACAGGAAAAGCTGCACGCACACGAGCACATGCGGACACGCCACACGCTCGGACAGGAGAAATGAACATCGCAAATATACGTGCAAGCACGCATGCCCGCTGCTCGCGCACACGCATGCAAGCATCCATTTTGCACACACGCACGCAAGTGCAGCCCTGAGGAAACTGTCGGCCACCTTTGCCGACGCAGTCCCCGAAAGCTGTGTGTGACTCGGAGGCATTTGCCAGCCTAGTGAAAAGCTTTTGGCTCTGTGGTACGATCTGCGTGTGCATACTTGAGGACCCTTGCCGAGCCGCCTGGTGGCAAGAGGGAAGCCTATGTACACTGCAAACATCTGCAAACACAGCAACGGCTGGCGAAGTTTAGTGACACTTTCACCGAGGCTTCAGGGTCTACTCCTCCGGCACCGTCATGATCCCTGGGACTTCCGGCCTTATGGAGTTCTGGAAAGACCCAAACAGGCCGAGAGTTGAGACCGGCTCTTTCGCTTTTCCCAGGAAGCAGCTGCGCAACTGCCCAGCTTTCTGCAAAGCATGGCTGCGGACAAGCGGTGCCCCGCTGCATTACTTGTATTTGTTGAGAGGGTTGCCGGATCCCAGACCTTAAAGACTGTTTGAGCCACCTTGTGCAGGAATGATGCGTAGTGTGCTAAGGCGCATCTGCAGAACCTAGCCTGGAGATGCTGCACGCTTGTGAGCGGCAAAAGTCCCATGAGCGCGGCAGCTGGCATCGACGCAGATGCATCCACTTGCTGTTGGCGCCGCTGGTTCACTTGTCGACTCCATCTGTGTGTTGTGTTTGGGAGGTGCTGGCCATCGCACAGGCCCAGCCTAGTCAGCACAGTATTTGCTATCGGATCTACAATAGCTGATTCCGCATGTGCAAGGACGGCGGTGCAGAGTGCCCAAATACCCAACTCGAATGTGTATCCTACGGCAGGTCAGCGACCTGCAAGAACATCTTGCAGGGGTGTGTTTGATGCTGCGCGCTCAGAAGAACTGCAGCCAGATGTTATGCTCGTTCCTCAATTTGAGAGAATGCTAGAAGGATGAGAGTTTTTGTTTTTGGCCACCTGTGTAGAAATTTTGCTGGCTGTCCGTAGTATGTGCCCTTCGCTTTGTCAGTGAAGGTGTTCTGAGAGCTCGAAAACCGTGCCAGTGGTCTCAAAACTCTAGCGGCCTCACTCCCTGGACATCGGGCAATTTAGTACAAATAAGGTCATCGTTCTGCCTCTAACCTGGTCCCAAAAACCATAGGGGCCGACCACGATAACATGGCATTCTGCACTCTGTCCGTCTCCTGGCAAATTTTGTTTGTCACTCACATGCTAGTTCTACGATCTGTCTTACGTGCCGTTCGCTTTTTGTTGGCCTCCCTAATGCCTCCTTGTTGTCTTGTCGGTGGTCTTTGGGCCTGATTCCTTTAGGGGATGGAGTACTTGTGGGAGAAGGGGTGAAGGGTCTCAGAAAGGGCCGAAACGGTTGGTAGAACTTTGTTTTCTTCACTGACGGGCAGGGGCCTGAACAGGTCGGAGTCCAGACAAGAGCCTGTATTGCACAAGCCGGAAATTTGGCTTCGGCTTTTGTAGGCCACGTACAGGAGGGAGATGGGTGAACCTCTAGCTACCAGAGGTTTATGTCGAAACGGTGGCAAGATAAGCAGGACGAGTCTTTGCGCGTTTTTCGCTTGAAAGTCCCGTCAATTCAATGCAACAGCTCTGCAGCGATTCACTTGTTCCGCATCATTGCCCGTCAGCCGCCTGGGCATCCGATTGCATGCGACTTGGATGTGCTAAGGATCTACAGACCGCGATGACGGATAAGGCAGTGCAGGCTGCTACAGGCCCTTGTCACACTTGTCGTGTCTCACGCTATTTCGCGCTGCAATGGCTTTGGTGTTGCCTGGTGCTACTACTCCTCCACCCTCCGGTCCAGAGGCGCCACCGCACGCAACTGCTCGCATCCCTTTGGCCTTGTCCCGTCACGGGTTGAGGGTCGATCTTGTTCGCCGGGTGAAGTGGCGTTTCTCATGCAATTCCTTTCGGTCATCTAATGTTTGCAACCTTTTTGTGGTGCTACTGGTCCCGGGTTGCTTCTTGCCTGGAAGCATCTTAGCAGCCTTACGTTACAGGCATGACGCAGGAAGAGAGCGAGGCTTTGATTGAGAAGTGCAGCACCCTCATGTTGCCCTCGCTCATTTCGAAGCCTTCGGGAGCTTCTGAAACGCCCTCTTGAATGAGGCAAGAAGGGCGACATGGGCATGGAGGATTACATCACAGTACAACGAATGTCTCCCGCCTAGCCGCTGCTCCGATGCTTCTAGAGTTTACTGAGTTTTCTGATCGTCTTCCAAGTTCCCAGGCTCAGCAAGCTAGGTGATGTTGGCAATGCCGCAAGGGACCTCAGCTCTGGGACATGAACACCACGTCCATCATGTCACATTATGTGTCCTGGGTGTGTCTCTGAAACTTGTTTCCTTTGCAAGGTGGCGCCTTTAGCCAAGATGCCCCGAGCTTGGCAGTCAAAGTAGACCAAGGCCGGCACGGTTCAACTGCCGAGGCTGCAGAATCAGGCTGGGGCGGAGGAGGACATCGAGAAGGTCAAGTCGCAGCTTGTGGCGAAGGCTCTTTTGCTCTTCCTTTGTTGGGAGCTGATGGCTTTTGTGCATCCTGCGGCCACAGTGAGACAGGAAGCGCTAGTGGCCTCCATGACGGTTGAGGATCCTTGTACGAGCAGACTGAACTGCCACGCCCCTCATTAATGTGACATCCGAGATTGGAGCCGGAAAGGAGCGAGAAAACCCGGACCTGTTCTTCCAGTCTGGGACGGCCGGGCGTGGGCTGCTTAGCCACTGCAAAGCTGTCGCACGTCTTTCGGGTACGAGCCCCTTCGCACCTTAACAAGAACTGCAAGGCAAGGCAATACGGCGCTGGGCCGAGGCCGCAAAGAAGACAGACCAGGACAGCACCAAAAAAAACGATATGGGCTGTTTTTAGGTTCGGGCCCCTTTTTCTTGTGGGATCCTCGTTTCATCGTATTCCATTCCAAAACTTCTTTCTTCTTGTACCGAAGCCATTCCACAGAGCATGGCCCTCAACAACAGTTCAACACTCCCCCCCCCAATCAACTGCCGTGGCATTCTGGCAGAGGAAATCCTGGACTTCCTGCTGGAGTATCGCACCATGAGGCGTTGGTACACTTGTGGCACTGACACACGTGCATTGCGGCTTTCCTGCTAGCCAAGGTCCATGTTTGGGAGCATCAACTCGGGCGAAGACTTTGCGGACGTGCAGCGTGAGCTGAAGAGAGAGTCCGAGGAGCTGAGATCGATTCTCAAGTCCCGCAAGGTTCCGCGACCTGGATTGGGGGGTCTTGGGTTTGGGGTTTTGGGAGCCCTCGGTACTGAAAAGGGGATGAACAGATTTTCGGGAACAAGCTTTTGGAGAGCTCGAAGCCCAGTTCTCCCTTCGGAGGCCCGGCGCGCCACGAAAGGGAAGTCAGCCAAAAAGGGAAGAGGAGGCCCTCAGTAGGCCACTTCGATTGCAGAGCCCTGTGTCCCGTGTGGTCCTGCGTCCGCAGGCAAGCAGCCTGAGTGGCTGGAATCTCAGATTTCCTCCTGCCTGCATTCGAGCTTCCAATGTCTACTAGTCCTGGCAGCAGCGCCAGATCGTTGCTTTGAGCACCACCCTGCCTAGACCATGGAATCCTTTCATGGCCTTGCTAAGGATGACCCTTTGAAGCGCGGTGCGTTTGTACATATCGCAGCGGCATCAGGCAGGCCTTCCGGCCTTGCGCCTGGCGACCACGGATGCCACCTTTTAGCCCGTGGGTGCGTTCGAAGTCCATGGAGACTCTTATTATGGCTGCCTTTGGCAGCGGCTGCAGAGCAAAAAGAGGGCTTGCGGAAAGGAGCCTGCGAGAAAATGGGAGAGTTGCTCGCCATCTTTCAATCTCACTCAGGACATCTCCGGACGATGGGCTTGAGGAACCTATTCCGTCGAGCAAGTTTTGAAAAGGGCTTATGGGCTTACGTGCTCTTTAGTGGGTACGAAGGAGACCCAGTTAGACATCAGCGCAACCTGCAGTCCACAGATGTTGTTATATCCTCTAGCCAAAGCATAGCTGTAGGAGTGGCAGCCGTTCAAAGACAATGGTTGCCCACAATGAGCGGCAACGCTCCGCATGGCAAAGTCGGGCTTGCAGGGATCCGGCAGCAGCCCCGCAAGAAGCCCCGGCAACCTGGACAGCACAGCTGATTTTGGCGTTGGTCGGGGGTCAGGTCACGTCGGAAGCGCAATGAACCCTGGGCCTTCGCTGCGTAGCAATGCCAGGCAGCGCGCAGCCCAAAGCAGTGCTGCACCATCACAGGCCTGTGAAGAAGGGACCTGTAGCGCTGGTAATGCTTGCTCATGTTCCACGTATGTAGACCCCACGCACTCGTTTGGAGACACAAAGAAGGTTGGGATGAGACATTTTTAAGCTTTTAAGAGCGAACCCCCAGCCATGTGCGAGAAGGCTGTTTAAGCCCGCAGACAAAGTACATGATTCCCGGATCCAAGCAGGGTCCGCAAGGGTCAGCGTGCCCCTGAACCCTACACAATGTTCAATGGTGGGGAGAGGTGTTGCAAACAACATTTGGCTTTCCCGGAAGAGTGCAGACACCAGCAATGGTTGTGCCAGTGGCAACATCTGGAGCTTCAGACTCAATTCGCGCACGCAGGCTTTGAAGCACCTCAAACCACTGGGGTGGCGCGGAAACTTGATTGACTAGCCTTGAAGAGGTCGGGTCCCCAACAAGCATCAAGCATGAAAGTCGCTTTCAATGGAGTGGATGCCAGAAGCATCCCTAAGCCTCAGAACTGCAGAGGCGCCTAACTGCCTAACTGTCACTGTCCCTGAGACATGGGAACCGTGATCTTCGCCCCACTGTGAGAGCCGAAGCTCCAAGAACATGAACAAAAGCCAAAGCGCCAAAAAGCAAGCAAAAGCCAATGTCCGGTGACGTCCAGTGACAGGCCTCAGATCAAACTCCACCCGGGACTCCCTCGGTGAGGTTCGATCCACTGCAATACTACGTGGCTTGGATGATGTTAAGGGATGGGTCGGGACATGTCAGGCGATGCCGGGCGAGCTGCTTCGGTCATCTCGTGCCATGTGTCCATTCGCACGTGGGTGACGGCTAATTAAAGGGTTCAGGCCTGCCCCAGCTAGGACATCTGGTTAATGTGTCTGAAAGGCAAACGCCAAATCCGAAAACGTTGAGATCCCACACTGAAAAAACGCAACCTTGATTTCCCAAAACAGGGGTACCCATTCTATACTCCAAATAAAATAGAATCCCCTTGAAGGGACCCCCCAAAAGGGTACCCTTTCCTTCTATCCACCAAAATAGAATAGAACCCGCTTGAAGGGATCCCCCCCCCCCCCCCCCCCCCCCCCAAAAAAAAAGGGTACAGTACCCCTAAACCCTAAACCCTAAACCCTAAACCCTAAACCCTAAACCCCAAGCCCTAAGCCCTAAGCCCTAAACCCGAAAAAAAAAACCCTAAAACCTAAACCCTAGGTTCGCAAGCCCCCCGTACAGTAGGATTTGGAAAGTTCGGCCTCCGAGGAGGAGATCCGTCACCTGGGCTCCGGGGCCTTCGGCGCCGCTGTCCTTGCCACCTGGAGCCAGTTAGTGTGTTACGATTGAATGAATGAATGAATGAATGAATGAATGAATGAATGAATGAGCGAACGAACGAATGAATGAATGAAATGAATAAAATGAATGAAATGAATGAAATGAATGAAATGAATGAAATGAATGAAATGAATGACATGAATGAAATGAATGAAATGAATGAAATGAAATGAATGAAATGAATGACATGAAATGAATGAAATGAATGAAATGAATGACATGAAATGAATGAAATGAATGACATGAAATGAATGAAATGAATGACATGAAATGAATGAAATGAATGAAATGAATGACATGAAATGAATGAAATGAATGACATGAAATGAATGAAATGAATGAAATGAATGAAATGAATGAAGTGAATGAAATGAATGAATGACTGTGTATCATTGTACGAACAAATGCTTCCACAAGCGGGTGTGTATACTATATATATATATGTATACACATATATATATATATGAAACCTATACGCCACCGTGGAGGGTGTGTCGATTTCTGAAAAATGAGGGGGGAGGGGGAGGGGGTGGGTGATTGCGTGCCCACCACGCATTTTCAGTGTTTTCGGCGCCTCCGGACACGTGCTTGTTCTTGCCTTCTCTGACAACCGTGCCTGGATTGCGTCCGTTTACCTGGGTTTATGCGTGTCAACACACGAAAACAACGACATTTACGGTGTTGTTGCTGTTTTTTGCCAGGCCCGTTTTTTCCACGAGGTCCGTTTCGGTGTTTTCCCGTTTTTTGATGCTTTGTCTCAACGCGCCCTGGAAGGCACTTTTGTTTGAAAATTGCGCCGGGGGGGGCGGTGCTGCCGTGGAGGGTATGTCGCTTTCTGAAAAATGGGGGGGGTGGGGGGGGCGGGGTCGCGTGCCCGCCACGCGAAAACATGGTATTCGCAGTGTATTCATGCTCGAGCATCCATCCCAGGTCCTCCTCTTGTGCCCTGCTCACTGCGGCGTGTTTTTGTTTGGCTTGGCTGGAGCCAGTGCTATGGCCAGCACTTTCGGGTTCTTCGCTCGGCATTGAAGCTCCCCCCAAAACTAAATCCCTTAATGACCGTGGAAGCATAGACAGATCGGTCCATGCGTCCCTTGACTTGCTGTGCTTCCTCTCACGTCGTTGTGGCTGAGGGTTTCTTGGTTTGGTTTGTTCTGTTGCGGGCTTTGATAAACCTTTTCTAGTCAAACCTTGACATTCAGTGAAGTGCATGCTTGCACGTAGTGACACGCTAGGAACGAATGCCGCGTGTTGCAGGCGTTCGTTGCTCAAGTGATGTAGCAACGTAATGCCGCGTGTTGCAGGCGCTCGTTGCTGAGGTGAGGCAGCAACGTAGCCTCTTCTTGAAAAGACCCGCCCGCTCCACCCTATTTGAAGGACGGTGGGGTGTCGAGGCCTCTTGGCTGCCGTAAGCGCAAGCCAAGGTGCGACTCTGTGACGCCCGCTGCCGCGTTTATGCATGTCAAAAATGCGATAGGGCGCGTCTCGAGCTTGTGTGAGGGCGCGTTGCTTGTTGTGTACACGTGAGGCGTAGTTCCAGTGTCCGCACTGAGCAACGTGAAGTTTCCATTCAGACCTTGACATCTTAGTAGTGAGAAGTTTCCCTAAACCTAAACCCTCAACCTGAACCTTGAAGTCCAAACCCAACCCGCTCCAACAAAACAGTGCAAGCCCGAAACCCTCAACCTGAACCTTGAAGTGCAAGCCCAACCCGCCCCGCCGTCTCGAATTCACTGCGCCTGCCAGTGTTGTCAGTACTTCATCAATTCTGGGCGTCCTCTAAACGCAATCGCCATACCTTCCACGGCGGCGAGAAGCGCGCGTGCCTTGTTGTTTCTATTCTTGTTGATATTATTATTGTTAGCCTTAGTGTTGTTGTTCTTCTTCTTGCTAGTTGTTGTTTCCCACTGCTTGCAGGTTGGGGATTGCTTTGGGGACGTTTGGGGAATTCGGGAGATGTTGGGAAGGCAAACGAGGTTGGTTGGTTTGGCAGACCCGTGAGGTGCGCCGACTTCGGGATGGGCGGCGGCTGGTGGCCAAGAAGTGCTCTGTGAAGGAAACGTGGAACATGACGTGGGATGTTCCCCCTTTATGCTAACAGTCCTTAGTGGGGATTATAATCGGGACTATAGTCCCTATGAAGGACTGTTAGTGGCAAGTGGAACGTCGCAAAACATGACTCACAACTCGTCTGAACCTGCTCGGGAATGGTGCAAGTGTGAGGGTCGAGTGGGCGAGGAATGACACAGTAGCGATCTCTTCGATTGTGATATGTCAGGGTTGTTGTTCCCCACCCTCGGTGAGGGGGTGTCAGATTTTTGTACTCGCTCGGTCTACTCCTCGCCAACAACCGTCTCCCACACCAGAATATATTTTGAGAGAGTCCCTGGAGTGCCCAAGCAGTGCCCCATGCCGGGAGTGCCCGACCCCAAGAAATTGCTTGGAGTTCCTGGAGCCCAGAGTATACCCAAAGAGTCTGGTTTTAGAGAAGCAGCGATTTCTAGGCAATCCCTGGAGTTCCCAACCCCAGAGCATTCCTCTCCCAAAGTGACCTCGAACATTCCTTGCCTGCAGGGTGGGGACGTTCGAAGTAACACATTTTTTGGGTCGCTTTGCTGGTTGTTGGAACCGCGCCCTTGTGTTGCAGGACATGGCCGAAAAGCAAAGGCAGATGTGTGCCGAGCTCAGATCAGGCAGTGCAGACCAAGGACCAGGACAGCGTTCCACTTCAGGCACCATGTGTCCCATAGCCATCATTGCCCCATTTTCTGTGACTCCCTGTCCGCACATTTCCGTGCAAGCACACCATGGACAACAAGACGAGAAATATTCGATCATCCCCACCCCTAAGCTGCCCAATGTAGGAGCCACCACTGCCCTTTTCCGAAGTTCAATGAGTTTAATGCATACACCATCGCACTTCGTCGCAGGATGCCTCCAGGCATACTAAGCGACATTGGACACTGCAGAGATTGTCTGGCCAAACATATTCTCTGGGGGGTGGGCACTCAGGGATGGCGGGTAATTTTAACGCTACGCGACCCGCCTCGGCCCGGCCCAGCGCATCCGCGTGAGCATGGTGATTCCGCAGCGCCCAAGTCGCTGGACCCCAAGCAATAAGGGTTGGGTTTAGGGTTGAGGGTTCCGGGTTTATGGTTTGGGGTTTAGGGTTGAAGGTTAGTTTAGGATTGAGGGCTTAGGGCTCAAGGTTCACGCTTTGGGGTTTAGGGTTTTTTTGGGTTTCGGGTTCAAGAGACGAATCGGCTTGGATTGATCGTAGGGTTGAGCCAGGGGGGTGGGGGGGGAAGGGGGGCAAAAGGTCTAAGGTTTAAGGTTTAGGGAAAGGTTCAAGCATAGACTCTTCGGCTCGTGTAATGCATTCTTGGCGGTGCGGTAGGGGGGGTAGGGGGGGGTAAAAGGGGGGGGCCCTTGCTGGGAGGGGCTTCAACTGCCTCTGGTCCTGGCGAACCGTCCGCTTGCGGACCCCGGTTTCCTGGGGGGTACCCATTTAAGGCAAAAAAAGGGGTCCAAAAAATGGTTTTGGGTGTCGGGGGAGGATTTGGAGGGGGGTGCCTGTTCTGACAACCTATACACCTCCGGCCCGAGGCCTCGGCGGATATTGCTTCTCTGGGGGGTGGGCACTCAGGGATGCTTGGCGGGTAATATTGCGCCCTCTTTGCTGTGTCCCCCGAGTCCCTCACTCAAACACCTATTCAAGCACGTCTATAAGAGCTGTTGAGGCTCGGGATCTTGTGCGTAGAGATCTGGCAGTCCCCTTAGTTCGGGAAAGTTGTGAGAATCGTGCCGCCATCGTGGGTTCTATAGACCCGAAACCCCAATCCAACACCTGAAGCACTACACCCTAAACTGCCCTAAACCCTAAACTATAGGCCTGAAAGTTGTTTCTGCCACCTCCTGTTGCCCATGCACTGGGTTCTCTCCTGAGGCCTCATTGCATCACGGGCGGCACTTCGTGAGTTTCACGTCCGTCAGCCCGATGTTTGAACCAGGTTTGGTAACCTCAGAGTCCTCGAGTAGTGGAGGAAGGTCTGTACCCTCGCCTCATCATCGGCTGGCGAGCTTGAGTGACAGCCTGCAAATTTGGGGAGTTCCAGTTCCCGAACCTGAACCAGCAGTTTGCAGGCAGGATTGGCCCGAGTCGGCGGACACCGTCACGATCAAGAACATTCCCTGTCGCATCCGGCCGCAGGAAGTTCTGTCGGCGGTGCAGGCGCTGGGCTTCACGGAGAACGACCTTATTTACTTGCATCTTCCCGTGAAGCAGGGCCGGCCCACCTCTACTCTAGGCTGTTGCTTCATCGGCTTTCGTAGCGTGGCTTTGGCAAGGCAGTTCTGGGAGAAGGCCTCGGAGTTACGGTTTCCGGATCGCACAAGCCTGAAGGTCCCTCATGTCGAAGCTGCCACATCAGTGAATCCCCGTCGTGCTTCGTCCATGCACGGCGAGGTGCTCCGTTTCAGGCGTGAAGCCGCAGGAGCTGAGTAGATCATCGCCGCGCGGATGCGTCTGCAGCTGGGGGTCGAAGGACCAGTGTGGATTTGAGGGTCCTCGTCATTCAAAGGTCCACCGGATCCCTCAACAAACAACCTGGCTGCTGTGAGCGGAGGTGTTAGGGTTTTCACCGGCAGTCTCTTCTTCATTCCTGGGTCCAAGTCAGCCGGTCTGCTCAGAGAGCCACGAGGGTCCATTCATTCCTGAGGTCCAATCAAAAACCCTAAACCCTACACCCTACACGCTGCACCCTACACCCTACACCCTACACCCTAAACCCAAATGCTAACCCCCCTAGAAGCGATTTTTTTAGGGTTCAGGGTGAGGGGCTGCAACCTTGAATCCTATTTGGAGGTTAACCAGCCAGAATTTAATTATACAACTACCTACCCTACCCATAACCTCCAAGTAGTCCTAAACCCTAAACCCTAAACCCTCAACCCTAAATCCTAAACCCTAAACCCCTAAACCGAAAGACCCAACGTGCTCTTTGGACAGCCGGACAGACGGATCCAGGGGTGCCAGTGCATGCAAGCGAGGCTTTTTTTGTCCCTGTTTCATTCTATGCTGACTTTAAACTTGATGTGTGCACATAAATTTCCAGAATTCTCGACAAAAGTCGGATCCCGGGAACGACCGGACTTTGTACAGGATCCCGCTCTGTACCCCAAAAACAGTCACAGGGTTCTACAAAGCCCGGCAAACATGACTTTATTCAGGCCCCCACTAAACAGAGTGGGACTTTCTAGCAATGGGATACTCGGGACTCTCTGCGGGGACACATGGGCACGCGGCGCAAATTTCCCTTCTGCCTCTGCCCTTTCTCCCCACTCACAGGAGCCACTCAAGAACTTCCGGGCTATCCCTTGCAGCACTCGATGTCTCTTTATTCATGTTGCTGTGTCTGCCAGTTGTGATTCCGTGCAGAGGTCTCGAAGAAATTGCTCTCCTGCAAAAAGTTCGACACGAGTGCGTGGCACAACTCGTCGATTTAGTGTGGACATCAAAGGACTGAGATCTGAGAATGCAGCCGCAGAAGGGACACCCAGTGATCAGCTTGAGCCGGAGTTTGTTGTCAGGATATGCTGAGCTACTGGATAGTTCTGAAGTTTTATCCTGGAGGCGATGTGCAAAACGAAATTGACGACTGCCGCGAGAGGCTTGCCTGCAGTCTGGCAAGCCTCATGCATTCGCTTGTCAGAGCCGCTGGCACGCGACATTGATTTCAAAAACCAAGCTCAGGAACGACTTGGAGTTGCCATTGGGCAAGGCAAAAAACTGGGTGACCCAGCTCTGCATGGCCCTGAAGCATGTCCACAGCCTGCGGATCGTGCACAGAGACGTCAAGGGCAGCAACATGTTCATCACGGGTGCCTCTCGGCATCAAGATCCAAGATCCATTCTGTGCTGCCTGCATGGAAAAAGCGGTTTCAGGAGGGATCCCGGCAATGAAGCTTTGACGAAAACCTACGAATCTTTAAGCTATCTAAGCTTCGACCTCAGCGGAACAGCTTTGAAGCCTCCCGTTCCGCACCAGGCTCGCAATATCGTGCTTGGAGACTTCGGTGTCAGCAAGCAGCTCACTGAGTCGCAGCAGAAAGCGATGACCTCTGCTCAGCCCCGAGTTGCTCTCCACGCTCCGAGATGTTTTCAACCGTGAGTGCGGCTGGATGGCCTGTCTCTTCATTCCTGCGCATAGGGGATCACATGGGGCGTTGTTTTTTGCGGTGCAGTGTATCGTGGGATGCTGGGGTCTTGGACTTCTTGCGGGGAATTCAACCCCCACCCCTCCGCACCCCGAGTTCACTGAGACGGGGCCCGAAATAGACAAGGCCCTTCAAGAGCCCCACCCCACCCCCCCACGCCACCCCACCCCACCCCACCCCACCCCTCCCCCAGCCCAGCCCACCCCAGCCCACCCCAGCCAACCACCCGACCCCCCACCCCACCCCACCCCACCCCACCCCACCCCACCCCACAACATTCGCAATTCTGGGGCCTCAGCTAGGCGGTTCGAGGCGGTTCGCAGCCCTTCCATACCGCATCAGGTCGGCAGTCCGATGTACATGGCTCCGGAGTGGTGGGATGGCCGTGGAGGCACTGCTGCTTCCGACATGTGGAGCGTGGGCGTGGTGCTCTATGAGCTGTTGGCTCTGACCCCTCCTTACGACCAGAGGGCAACAGCAACAAAGACATGCAACTTGCACCAAGCGCATTCTGCGAGAGACTCACCTGTTGCGCTGGTTGCCTAGGAGACGACCATTTGAAGCCCAGAATGTGCCCAAGTCCGCATTGCATGCCCGAGTGGCTGCAGAGCCAGTCGGTTCATTGTGCAAAGCCTCCGTCATACGGAGAAGAATTTGACGAGTCAGTGCCGCCTGAGGTTCTTTCACTGGTGCACAAGATCACTACGGAAGAGCCAGCTGCCTTGGACGAAGATACGGACCAGCAGCTTGCAACCTTGGCAATGAGGCTCTTGCAGAAGCGTCCGGCTCCAAGTTGCCTGAGCTGCCATATCTGCCTTGGTATTATCTTTGATGGTTGACTGATGGTTGTGATGGGCGCTTGACCGTCAGGCACTGCAAAGCCAAAGCTTTAAAAGGCTTTAAAGCTTTGAAGCTTTGAGCAGCCGAGCAAATTCGTGCCCAGGACCGGAGAGTCGGCCCAGCGCCACGGACGCGTTGGGGTTTCCTGGACTGGAGGATGTCGAGAAGATCCTCGGGAGCCTGTGCTTGAAGTACGTGTTTTACATATGGAATGCGAAGTCCATAGGGCCACGTGGGCTGCACATGCTGTTCAGATAGACGAGGCCAGTTCTCGCATGTGGCCAAGGTGCCCCAATCCCCCCCACAGTGTTCCTCCACTACTCCGCTGGAAGAGGGACCAACGTTTCCATGCAAAGGCCTCCCCACCAGCGAGCTAGACCTTACTGTGTTGCTGCCCAGGATTTATCGTGGGGCCTTGGAGAAGAAATCTGATAAGCAGCAGCGTAAGCAGCTTGTCAGCACTAGCCAGGACGGGCCAGAAGACCCGAGCTATGCAAGTCCCACCTGCGCGCTTTCAGAGAGAAATATGCTTCTGAAGCTTCACTTACGCCTATATTCTGAAAAGTCAGTCGGAGAAGACTATCCCTGTTTAGTCCGCTGGCTCGTTGCTTTTGCCAGAGCAACAGCTTCAGATTGCGCAAGCAAGTGCGGCTCAAGCCTTGCGGACTTACGGCTAGGCTTCGACATAGCGGAAGGGCAAGACTCCCCAGCCTCGTGAGCGCATGAGTTTGCGGTACAAGCTCACTTTCATTGATGTGGTCGAAGACCGTCAGCCTTTACCCAGGCGTTCCAAAAGCTTGCCGTGCAAATCGAGAGAGCGTTCCACACCATCTTTGGAGGATCAGTATATCATCGAGACAGCTCAGCGACTACTCCAAGCGCTGCCACCGCTGCCACCAGTACCAGCACGGCCCGTTGTCCCACCGCAACAGCACACCGTGCAAGAGTTGGATACCATCGAGGCCGATGCATGCAGCGAGGACACCGGGCCTCTCCTGACTCTCCAGAACTTCTTCCAGCAGTTCTTGTGGGTGGCCTTTGTTGTGAGACGTGCTCTCGCCGGCTTCAGCCGAGTTTAATGGGCGCACAGATTTTTGGCGGCCAGAGCTGCTCGAACAGAAGGGACAGGTTCAACATGTCTCGTGATGCTTCGGTTTAGAGGGATGGAAGGCACTGGATGGGTTTGAATTGTTCAACACGTGTCCTCTGCCCCTTCTGTGCGGCCCAGCTGACGAAGAAGGCACCCATTTGATTTTCTTTGGCGCCACCATGGGCACAACGCCTTGCATTTTGAAGCAATCCGTCCGCGAATAATCTGTTGTGGGTTTCCAATCATCTTTCGGCTCAGCCACTGCCTCTTGGGCGCAGCCTTTGCGAATGACAAGGGAAATCTAAACAGAGCCTGGCAGCCATGACGTTTAAGGGGTTGAAGGGCCTGCGTCGCAGGAGGGCAGATTTTGAGCACATGACTGCGAACTGGAAAGGGCTCCGGACACAGTTGCACTCAGCCGACTTTGCTTCCAAAAACTTCCTGCCTGAGCAATGTCGAGGCTGTCGAGGACAGATCCTCCAGCCTAGCATCCTGCTCAGCCTTAGCAACAATTTCTGAAAGGACAAGCCTCAACTGGTTTCCCGTTCTGTGACCGTGCATGACTTTTTGCTGTCTGCTGCGTAGTTTCTGTAGTCAGAGTCAGGTCGAAACTGATGGCTCCTGGCTAGACTGGGAGAATGTGCAAGCGGGCATCGTGATGAAGTCAAAGTCTTTATACAGAGGTGTGTTCGCCCAAAGACCGCAGTGCTTCCCACTACGTGCGCTTGTTGTTTGCTTCCGCGGCGGGCTGTCCTGCATGCCGTTGCTTAGAACGCACTTGACTTTAGTGCTGCTACCGCAGGTCGTCTCTTATGAATGGTCAGCACGAACAGGTACAGGGATATACAGGGATTAAAGACAGCGTCGGGAAGTGGAGTAATCTCATCTGGCAGCCTTGCTGTGGTTCCTGCGCAGCTGTGATGTATGAGAGAAGAGCACAAACAATAGACGGCAAGACTGCCTATTATGCCAGTGGGAGCCTAGTCAATCCGACTGCGAGACGACTCGTAACCTGGTTCCCAGTCACAGATCTGCACCGAAATTCGCGAAATCGCACGGAGTATATACGGCTGCAAAGCAGGCAGCTAAACGGCTTTCCATTCATCGCAGGACGAGAGCGTGGTGCCGGATGGAGAAAAATTGTTGCACAAGGTGTGCTTTGAAGATTTGCGAAGCCTGCCCAGTCCAGGCTTCCTGGTTTGCAGCATGCAATTGGCTTGCTTGTGCAGCCAAGGAAGGCCCGCGAAGAAGACGCTGCGGCGGGGAAGAAGCCTCGACGCCCAAGTCGGTCTAGCAGCAGCGAGCTCGACAGCAGCCCGGCACCTAGCCTTCATGAGCTTCATGATGCATCGCAATGGCAAATGCGAGATGGCTCATGGTTACCTCTGCTTGCTCTGTAACACACGTAGTGACATGCTGAGCGTCAAGCGCCGTAGCATTCGCTCAAAGCCGCCCATTTCAGCTTTTCTGCCAGTCACCTCGGCGAGACTCTCCGCGCCCTCCTCGACAACATCACCTGTTGACACACGACCCCGTGAGTGCCTGGCTGAAGGATTGATCTCCCATGCGAAAGCGTATGGGACACCTCGGCATGGTCGCTCAGAGCAGCTGCAGCCACGCCTTTACCTTGGCCTCCGCCGGCGGCGGTAGCGTGCTGCCATATGCCGCCATCGACCTCGTCGCCTAGCTGGGCCTAGCTCCCCATGAGGGCCAGGGGAGCGGTGTCCTCCATGCCACAGACCTCGCTTGTTTGCAGGAGGGCGTCGGCGGCCGTCCCATCAAAGTTCTACGGCGGAGGTAGGAGTGGCGGTGCTGACGCGTTCTTCCTCTGCCAACGAGTGCTCAGCGGATCGCTGCTGCATGAGTCTTGTAAAGCTGTGGTCGGGCCGCAATGGGCACTCCTCACCCACGCCAAGGACGAAGCCGTCAACGGCGTCCTCGCCACCTTCTGGGCCACACGTCACGGCTGGTCGCCGGAGTTCGGGTGCGTACTGTCCACATATTCAATAATTATACCCGAGGTAGACTTATGCACGCTCCGTTGCCTTGTTCATGTTGTTCGCGCTGTTTGCAGTGTTCCTGTTGGCGATGTTCGCGCTGTTCACACTGTTCGCGGTGTTCGCGAACGCCGTTCGCGGTGTGTTCGGACTGTTGAATTCGCCGCGTTCGCGCCGCGCTGTTCGTGGTGTTCGCGGGGCGTACCGTTCGTGGTTTTCGCGCTGTTCGCTGGGTGCTATGGTGTTCATGTCCTGAGTGCTGTTGTGGGGGCTGGGGTGCGCCAGGAAGTGCAACATGCCTCCCTGGGCGCCGGCCCTAATTTTGGAGGGCTGGTGCATCCCTTGTGCTTGCTGCGCTTCAACGCAGCAAAGCAGTCTGACAGTTTGTGGTCGTAAGCGTAGTGATCCTAAAGCATCGGCGTTGGAAGCTGCCTTACAAGTTGGTCTCGTTGGCGGATTGGTTTGTTTTTCAAGATTTCCAGATGTCGGGCGAGCCTTTTGGCTACGAGGCAGAGCCCTTTTGTCTAACTGCCAACCTCTGGAGCAGTCGGCATGTGTTCTTTAGTGACCTTTGAGGTCGAGTGGGTTCATGGTACTGTTCTAACGGGACTCACCCAAAACAACAAAGAACGCTCTGGCAGCCGAGACCCGAAGTCGCCTGTTCTGGCGATGTTTTGTTTTCTTGGATGTGACTAGGAAAATGTAGGAAACCTCCCAAAGGCGGTCGAGAATGCTTTCCCGAGCCAGTGTGGCACAAGACCCGCGCGCAAAGCTGTACTTCTCCCTGCTACCGCCTTCGACGACAGCTGCGAGAACTACCACCGTTTTCTCGTGCGAATGGAATTGCTTCGTAATTGGTCTGTAAGAAGATTATTTGATGCTGCCGTTCGAATGATGCTCATTTCTCGGTGGGTGTTCAATCATTGTCATCACCATCATCATCGTAATTCTCGGACTGAAGGTTTTCTGGCTTCTTTGCCTGTGGCCAGCTCTCTTCTTGGTTTGGTGGCAGGTTTTTCACGATGATTTTTTTTATCCTGGCGTGGAAAAGAACAATCGCTGACGAAGCCACGGCCCGGCGTTTCGCTGAGACATGTCTCGGCGACCTAAGAAATCAAGAGAAGCAGCCTCCGAACCAAGAATTCAAACCCACCCCAAAACCCCAGATTGTTAGAAGTGCTTTAGATGCTCCAAGGTGGAAGTACTGGCTTGGCTGGGCTTCGTGGTGTCAACTTGGCGGACATTGCGCGAAGGCCGCGGCAGACTTTGCAACTCTGCTAGGTTCCAAGGGCCTAGAGCATATTATATGACGTACACCGGAGACATGCGCTAAGCTAATATCTTAAAGGACCGGATAACCTCAGAAAGCATATATATATATATATACATACATATATATATATATATATACGTATGTGCATGACTGTCATAGTGCGGCTCCTGTCAATTTAGTGCCTGCACGGCTTCACATACATGTTCAGCTGTATGTGCCTCTTGCGGCTGCTTGGAGGCAAGCTGTGACCCCAGTTCCTGCTGTAGCTGAAGGCAAAGTTCGAGGGACACAGGGTGGGACACGTTGCTGTTGCTGCTCAGATCTGCACAGATTGTGTGCAATAATATCACGGTCCATATCCACGCAAAGCAAAGCTTTAACTGCCTGCATCAGACCACCAGGTCTCGATGCTCCTATTTGCACGGTGATCTCGTGTCAATCGGAATCGTTGCTTAGGGCTTGCCGCCTGTCCTTGTTTCAGGCCCCATGGAATCAGACGATGAGGAAGAAGATGAAGATGAGAAGGACAAAAATGCCTTGACCCAAAAGCGCATCAACCTGTAGTTCACATGACATTGCGTACATCATTCGCAACTTGGGTTGCTGTTGAGGAACTTAAAGAAGTCTTACTCTGTACTATATATATATATATATGTATCCATTTAGCATGACTTCCGTGGTCTCCGAATGTTTACGCTACGCTACCCGCCTCGGCCAGTGCCTGCCCGGCGGAGCCGAGATTGCGAGTGTGAAGGCGCTTTCAGGTTGCATAGCGCGGGTTCCAAAACCAGGAACCTGTTGTAACACGCAGGACAGAGCAGGCACCCCAAACCTGGGAGTGGTAAAACAAGAAAACAAGGGGTGGATTGGGGGTGGGGGGGGTGGGGGTGAGGGGGGGTGGGGGTGTGACCCCTGTGGCACCCCCAAATGCCCCTGATGCACCATGCGGGAGCGAAGCAACAAAAGTGCCAAATCACGAAAGCTAGCCCCCGAGGAGCTAGCGGAGTATCTTACTTAAGCGAAGCTTACAACCTGAAGGGTATATAGGGTCCCCGGAGGCTCCGCCACGAAACCCAGCAAACCCGGTCGGTTTCCAAGCGGCGACCACAGGTTTTGGGGAAACGGGCTGGCGTTCATTTCTTTCGTATATGGGTGCAAATGAACGCCGTTTTCTGTGGATCCCAGGCCCTCGAAAACCTTTCCAAGTCTTAAGAAAAGACTCAGAAGCCCTGATGTTGATGTGAGTCTGGCGTCCCTCAAAGCTGGATTGGACAGACTTTCATGATGCTCGCGCATTGCGTACTTGTTCTATGTTGGGTGCCCGACCTGAAGCCGTTGGCTGGTAGGCATGATACTGAAACGCACTAGCCTTCCGATAATGCACTAGCCTTCCAGCCGGGCCCTCAGGGGCTGCGAGGGGCTGCGAGTGGATGCGGTTAGGGTGTCTTTCAGGTTTGAGCAAGAGCGAAAGACGAGGTTTTAACTTTACAATCTCGTCAGCAATAATCTGCAGCCCAAAGCTTATACACTCTACAAACCTTTCTACCCCAATGGTTTCTGCGGCCTGATGAATCTCCTCAATCCCAAGGCCTTGGCGTAGCCTTGTCCTGATGCGTAGTGGATGCCCTGTTGACAGAAACCCTTCCGTGGGGGTACCTTAACTAGCTTTCGTCCCAGGCCCTCACCCTCAAGTAAGGGGGTGCAATCTGCGCATGGGTTGCGTTCAAAATTCGCGTGTCTGCTCAGTTACTTTAATTTACATTAATTGGTTTGGCCGGTCTATGTTCATGTCTTTGCTATAAGGCGGCACCGAGGGGGATCCCCTAAAACCCCAGTGTGGCGCTAGGAAAACGCTAGGTTCGCGCTAGGTAAGATCAACAAACATTATTTCAAATTTCGCATGTCACCCAACAGAGATTGATTCAGAAGGCCCAGCCAGGTGGCACCGCCCGAAATATGCGTACAACATCCGGAGTGGTGCAACAACCCCGCGCCTCTTCGTTATGAATTGACGGGGCCCCTGTTGCCAGGATAGAGGTTCTTCTAGGAAAAACGATGACAAGAAAGAAACGATTTTCTTGTTATACTTGGTACATTTGCTGCTCCTGGCTTGTTTTCGTCGTTCATCACGTCGTGGTTGTTGTCAAAAATGCTTGTTCCCGAAATTGACGTTAAATCGGAACTCCCTCGGTGCCGCCTTATGTCCTGAAGGAAAAAGAAGCTGATTGAGATGGAGTAGCAGACGCGACATTTGAAGGATCCAAGCATGATTTCCTAGAAAAGGTGCTAGCGCGGACCATTTTTCAGGCGCTGCTGTCGGACGAGTCGTCACAAGAACTGCGAGTGTTGCTGCTACATACTGCTACTGCTGGAGTTCTGGCGCGAGCGAAGGTTTCTCCGCTGTCGCCACTTGCGGGGCTCGAGCTCCAGCAAGCATAGCGCTCTCGGTTCTATGGTGTTCCTTTGTGGTCTGCTAGAGGAGGAATAGGCCATGGTCTGACGGGGAAGGATGCGTTGACATTTTGCTAGCGCCGTGCTAGCGCGGCGCTAGCGCAAAACACTGCCGGATTTTCCTAGATCTGATACTACGACGTGATGAACGACGAAAACAAGCCAGGAGCAGCAAATGTACCAAGTATAACAAGAAAATCGTTTCTTTCTTGTCATCGTTTTTCCTAGAAGAACCTCTATCCTGGCAACAGGGGCCCCGTCAATTCATAACGAAGAGGCGCGGGGTTGTTGCACCACTCCGGATGTTGTACGCATATTTCGGGTGGTGCGCCTGGCTGGGCCTTCTGAATCAATCTCTGTTGGGTGACATGCGAAATTTGAAATAATGTTTGTTGATCTTACCTAGCGCGAACCTAGCGTTTTCCTAGCGCCACACTGGGGTTTTAGGGGATCCCCCTCGGTGCCGCCTTATAGCAAAGACATGAACATAGACCGGCCAAACCAATTAATGTAAATTAAAGTAACTGAGCAGACACGCGAATTTTGAACGCAACCCGCATGGGCCGTTGGCAACTTAAGGAAGTCTTTCTATGTACTATATATCCACCTAGCATGTTTTTTGACACCAGGGTTGGGTTTGCATCTCCAGAGGCGGGGGGCTATTTGCCACCCTGAAGCCTTCGGGAACCGAACGCCGGAACGGAACCCCGCCTCGGAATGCCGGAACGAACGCCGGAACGGAGCGGAACGGAGTGGAACTTGGTGATCTTTGTTTTGCTGGCCGTGGGGTTGCACGGCTGGGT